GAAGTCCTCCCTGCACAGCCCGCGAAGGCGCGGTTCTGTGAGAGCTGGTGGGGCCCTGGGAGTGAATCCGCGTCAGGGTTGGCTGAGAAAGGAGTCTGATTCATGATGAATGGACACTGAGAACAAAGCAAAACCAACCCTGCCAGCCACCGGGCCAAACATTTGCCCAGGTCCTGGTAGACGGGTAGTGTGTGCTGAAGCCTCTGTTCGCCCTGCAAAGAGCCATTGCTCTGGCCTACCTGGCTCAGTAGGTGCAGTTACCTCACTCCACATGGGCTCCTGCCTGCAAGGCACGCACACACATGCACCAGCCTTGTGGGCAGCATCCTGTACTGATGCCTGTGGGGATGTCTAACAGCCTCCTTCTGCCCCAAAATCCTCCGCTAGGGCATCCTTTGACTGCAGATGGCAGTGCCCCCAGAGAGCACAGCTGCTGGCCAGGAGCACCACCATGGAGATCTGAGCAAGCAGAAGGGCAGAGAGGAATGGCAGGGCAGCCCAGGAGCAGAGAAGGACTGGCAGATTACTGCTCACCCTGCAATTTCCTCCTGTGAGGCCAGCTAGGCCAGGGTTTGAGGAGGGCAGTGCCCGGTGGTCAGGAGCCCCTAAGGGCTGCACATCCCGCAGTGGAGGCTCATCTGACATGGGGCAAGCTTCTAAAGTCAGTGCGCAAAGGGAGATTACACATGGTAGAGCTTCCCTGGAATCTAGGATGGGTGTGTGCTTGAAGGAAGGGTGCCACCCCTTGTACTGCCCCACACAGCTGGTCTTCCTCCCAGTATATTGGAACTGCGTTTTAGCAAAGCACCAGATAAAGCCATTGATTTGGGCTTAGTGGTCATTTTTTCCAGAAAATACTTATCTCGAAGCATTTGAGTCAAATGACAGTGCAGTGCTTATGCTAAGAGGGGCCTGTGGGACCAGGGCTGCTGAAGGCACTGATCTCACCTTCACTCAGAGTCAAATGGCAGGTAAAATCTGCCACATGAATTAAATCATTTTTCTCCAGAGACCTGGAGTTTGTACAAGTTAAACACAGATACATGGTGATTCTACTATATTAATTTCACCTCCCCCAGCTATGTCATCCCACCTGCTGGTTGTGGCAGTGTATCAGTCAGGAGGGGCTAGGTTTGCTGCAGTAACAAAACGCCCCAAATATCAGAGCCTTAAAAATAGGATGAGTCAGTATCTTGATTATGCTCCAAGCCCATCTCAGGCTGTCTTAGGGAATTAGATTGACATTGTCATCACTCAGGAATGCTGGAAGACAGAGCCTCCTCTGCCTGGGATGTTCCCCTGCAGGAGAAAGGAAACAGCAAATTATATACTGGCTCAGATTCTGCCCCAAAGCAAGGCACGTCACCTCCCCTCACAGCCATTGGCCCAGACAGGTCACATGTCAGGGATTTCACCCCTCCTTTGTTTGGAGGCAAGAAGCTGCATTGTTGGTGTGCAGCCAGGCCCTGAGAACTGGTTTTCTGAGGCTTGTGGGAGTTGGTTTTTTCCTTCAGTATTGATTTTGCACCTGCCGCTGGCCAAGCACTGTTGTGGGCATTGGGTAAACACAGCAGTAAGCAAAGCCAAGCCCCCTGCTCTCAGGGACCTGGCATCCTGGCAGGAGACCCCATGCCTATTTCAGCACCAGTTGTCTGTTCTCAGGGTGCTTGCTCGCTATTCCCCAATCAGGAGAGCTGCAGGGCTCTGTGCTGGGCTCCTACAGCAGCCTTTGTTGGAACGCTTCTCACATTATTTTGAATCACTTTGTATTTCTTGATTGGAACTCAGCAAGTAAAAGTCTTCAGTGAGGCACCCCATGATGTTGTGGGCACCACCAGGTGCTACGTGGCAGAAGGCCAGGCAGGAGCACCTTCCCTCCACCGGAGGGCTGAGAACTCAGGGAGGGAAACAGTTGCTTCTGAGTTTCACATCCGGGTCCTAAAATGGCCTGACAGTCCAGACCAGGCCTGGTCAATGGGCTCAGTTCTCCCTCCATGTCAGTGGCTCAGAGCTCAGCTGCCTCTTCAAGGATGCAGGACTACTTTGGTCCTTGTAAATCTCTCATCAAAAGTATTTTAGCCATAAACCTGGCCCTTTGGCTACTTTTCATAAAAGTTAGGACTCTTGGTCATAAGTGACAGCAAAGCCAACCTAAACTGGTGTGAGCAGAAAGGAATTTATTTATCCATCAGAGTAGATGAAGAGTCATTTGGTCTGGCTGGATTCAGGGACTCCAGGATCAAGTTCTCTCTTGACCTATGGCTCCTCTTTCTGTGGCATGCATTCCTCCTCATGGTGGTAATATGGCTGCAGCCTCACTGAGCCTCACATCCTCTCAGTTGTGAGCCAGGGGCAGGGAGAGCCTCTTTGCACATGGGTCCCTGTCAGTTCCCTCTGGTTGAACCTTCCCCTCCCATGGACGGCACTGCCACCACCACCAGACTGTCCCTGGAGGTAGGAGTGGACACTGCCTGGGGGATTGGCCCAGAGTGGGCATGGGGGCACAGAGAGTGGGAGGTGGGCAGATCCGCAAATGAAAACCCAAGGCTGATGCCAAGATGGGTGACCACTGGGAAGACCTATGCATGATGCTCTGCTATGATTTCATTTGTCTTTCTGAAATTGTCCCAATGTTGGCTAGGTCAGGAGAGCACCGTGGGGAGCTTCCCTGTGACTGGTGAATATATCCGGCCCCTGCTGCCCCCCAGTGACAAGCAGGAGCCTCTGTCCACCAAGCCTGCCTTTCTGTCAAGATCTGTGAGCCCAAGATGCAGATTTGAATCAGATGTGAGTCTTGTCCAGGTGGTTGGCCAGCTGCCCTGGCTGGGCTGCTCATGAAGTGTGGACGTGATGGCCCCCCGCCCTCCCTGCTTCTCCCCTCGCTGCCAGTAACTCCCCCACCCAGGCCTCACTACCAGGCCCCCTCAGCGTGGCTGTCAGGTCCCTTGCCTATGCCATGTTACCGAGAAGGAGCATGGGGTGTGGGGCTGGGGAGGCATGTGAATGGAGGTTGTGGGCAGCTCTCATGCTCCGTCTGTCCATGCAGGCTGCTCAGAGGTCCTAGGAGGGGAGGCATGGTCCCACTCCTGTCTGAAGAGCCCACACCAGCCACAGCATGGAGAGGGCTTGAGAAGGGACAAGAGTGGGGTGGCTGCCATCCTCTTCCAGGGGATCACACTTACCGTGCTCACGTTCACCCCCTCTTGGAGAGCAGGCAGCCCCTGCCCTGGCCTGGAGCTTGTGGCCGCAGTAAGGGAGCACCCGCATGCTCTGCAGACAATGGGATGGGGGGGGAATTAGGGGGAAAGAGCCCTGCACGCCACCTCCTCCAGGCAGGATTCCTGGACATTTTGATCCTGAGGCGCTCCTGATGCACAAGCCAGTGGGCACGTCTGTGCCCCTGGACTGAATCCTGAGAGAGGAAGGCTCCAGTCTTTGAGTCTTCCAAGGTGCCTCACCAGGGCTGGTACATGCATGGGCTGGCTCAGGGCTTCCCAGGCCTTCGATCCTACTGGGGGCCTCACCTCCAGCACAAGCGAGGTGTGGGGAGACGAGTTTTTCATACACATCCTTGGGCATGACCACAGAGCCCACCCTGGGGCACCTCCATCATCTCCGGGCTCAGTCCCCAGGCAGAGAGTATGGTGCGGTGGCATCTCTCAGATGCTGAGGCTGACAAGCCCAGGATACTAGAAGGAGTCCCCACATGAAACGTCACAGCTGCCACTGTGATACCCCACTTACGTGTCTGTGTCCTCACTAGATGGAGAATGAACGGGATTCCAGTACCTCCAAGCAGAGATACTCGGGGAAGGTCCACCTGTGTGTTGCCCGCTACAGGTAAGAGTCTTACTCTCTGGGAGCTGAGGGCATCCCTTCCCAGGCCCCAGAGAGGAGGCATGCCACTTAGCCAGGCTTTGGAGGAAGATAAGACTGTCCTTTCTGAGGAAAGAGTCTGGTCATGGACTGGTTTCCTAGGCTGCCCTACAGACTGTCCCAACCGGGGCCTAAACCAGCAGCATTTGTCCTCTTGCAGTCTGGAGGCCAGACGCCTGAAACCCGGCTGCGGGCGGGCCCGCTCCTCGCGGCTCCGGGGAGGATCCTTGCTGCCTCTTCCCGAGTCTGGGGGCTCCAAGGTCCCTTGTTGAGACACATCCTGCTGGTCTCTGCCATGGCCGCCACATGCCCCCTCCCCTGCCTGCCTGCCTTCTCCTCCTCTGAGGACCCCAGCCCTTGGGTTAGGGCCCCCCTCCTCCAGTATGACCACATCTTAAATTGGTCACATCTGCAAAGACCCCCATCTCCAAATGCAGTCATGTTCCTGGGGACTGGGGGTTAGGACTTGAACCTGTCTTTTAAGGGAACACAGTGTGACCCACAACAGGTAGAAAGGGAAACTCGAGAGAGCCCCACTCTTGTCCAGAGCCTCCATTTAGCATCTCCTGAGGTCCCTGCCCTGTCCAGGGCCCCGGCGCATCGTGCAGTGAGCACAGGGCCAGACCAGCCTCTTGTGCCTCCAGTGCATCTGTGCTCAGGGAAGGCTGAGAGCCAGCCGGGCCGGGCCGGCCTTGGGTCCCCTGTGCCAGCCGCCAGATGTTTGTGACAGGTGAGGCTTGGCTGCTCCCCACAACTTCACTACCTGGCTGTAAGGAAGTGCTGCCCACAGACACAGTCAGGAATTACACAGTCACATGAGAGCAGGCGCAAAGCAGCTCAGACCCCCTGCCCTGTACCCTCAGTGAAGCCCTGCTTCCGGCCTACTGGGTGCCCCAGGGGCTCTGCCTGGGAGGCCGCCCCAAGGCAGGCACAGCAGTGTTCTCGAGGCAGAAACGATCGCCCTCACTATGGTGACATAATAATTTTACCGTGCATGGCTATCATCTCTGACTTCCAGTAATGTCCCTTTAGTTTTCTTATTGAGGCCTTTTCTGTTATTTCAAGTTAATTAACCTTTTAACAAGAACACCAATGTTCATCTAACATGTGCTTTATTTGCAAGGTGGACGTAGCTTTCAAAAAAGTTAATTCTGATATTTTGAGGACTTGAGGATGTGGACACCTTTATACCTCTGGGGAGTAGGGGAGTTAAATTGGTGCACCCAGTTCTCAGGACACTGTGGCAGTCCATACCCAAGACCGTAAAAATATACATTTGTTGACCGAACAAATTTAGCTCCTAGGGATTTTTCTTTAGCAAGAAAGATTGGAAGTGTGCAGACATGTTTGTAAGGATATTTAATGCAACACTTACCACGTTAGCCAAAAGTTAGAAGCAACATCAATGCCCAACATTAGGAAATGGGTCAAATAAAATATGTAAATCTATTTAGCGGGATATTATACATCCATTGAGAAGGATTTGATCGAATATGTCACAAGGTCAAAGGATACATTGCAAAGGGTGAAACACATGTGGATTATAAAATAGCATATATAATGTGATTCTCGCATTGCTAAATAATATATGTTGAAAGATTATGGGGTTAATTACCTTCTTATTTGCTTACTAAGTTGGAAATTTATGGTAGAAGTGTCAGGGATGAGCAGAAATAGCAGAATTATAAATGTCATCTGATACAAAGATCCCAACTTGGTTTCAGAATTACCCTTTGTTTTGAACCCAGGTGAGTGCACCCCATGGCCTGGATGCTCGTGTGCAGGGGGCTCCCTGGCAGGGACCCCTCTGGGTGGGTCATTTCCTGGCACCAGGAGAGGGGGTGGCATGCCAGCTGCCGAGTGAACACTGCTGCTTCTTCTAGTTACAACCCCTTCGACGGGCCCAATGAGAACCCGGAGGCTGAGCTGCCCCTCACGGCAGGGAAATACCTCTACGTCTATGGAGACATGGATGAGGACGGCTTCTATGAAGGTCTGTGAGAGCGTGGTGGACAGTGGTGTGCGTGGGCTGGTCAGGGGCCAATGTGCCCAGGGGCTGTGAGGCGGGCCAGGTTCCCAGCTGCTCCTGGCTGCCCAGGCCCTGCTCTGACCCTCTCCCCAGAGTTACCATGTTTCCCCTTTCTCATGACTGTGTAGGGTTTCCAAGCTCTAACTCCAAGCTGACCTCTGATACTGAGTGGCTCTTTTATAATGTTAATCTCTGCAGGGCGTCCGTCCCAGGTGGCCACAGTGCACCCATGGGGGCTGAGGGGCCCTTGTTCCCAAAGGGGCCAGCCCCTTTCTCCCTACCACCCTCAGAAGTGGCCGTCCTCTATGGCAGGGCCAGGTTCTGGTGCTACCAGGCTGGCCTAGCCCCGCATCCTGCGGGCCGCTCCCATGATGCTCACAGGCCCCAGCATGAAAGCAGGAGTGTGAGCTCCTCCATCGGAGACGCCTGCCCTTTTGCCACTTTCTCAGCTTGAGGATGAACCCATGAGAGCACCAGTGGCTTCTGAAGCTGAGGTTCCTCATGCCCCACACTCTTCGGTGCCCCGTACAGACAGAAGGGCCTAGCTTCCCTGGTGCCCTGGGCAAGGACCACTTCTTGCTCCCCCAGAGGCTTCTTTCATGGCCCATGGGCTTTACTGGAGCCGAGAGAAGCACCTGGGCTCTTGGGTGTTTGCAGGACGTGCGGTTGCCCCCACTGGCGTTCATCACCCTATGGGCTGAGCCGCTCACCCTCAGGACCCAGAAGGGCTGCAGCATCATGTGCACAGTCCACCCAGGAGATTTGACACCTGGTGGCAAAACATTTTGAACTCTTAACATAAATTTACATTAGCACTGCTGATTGGCAAATGCACGCAGAACTAAGTGCCCAAGGTGGTCCTAGAAAACCCTCACTGGAAACCTCTGCACGAGGCATTTTATGACACTTGTGGGCTGATTCTCAGCGGACTGCAGGCTCGGCATTGTCCTGCGATAGCAAGAAGCTTTACTTTACCACCCAGTGCCTCGGCGTCATTGGGGTCCTGGCCATGGATGGGCTAGTGGTGGCTCCTGGCTTTGAGGATAAGAAGCTCATAGACATGAAGGTTCGACCAAGGCCTGGAGAGGAACACTGGCTCCATATATGCCCCAGATCACGTCACCATCATCTCCCAGAGGCCAGAAAGAGTCTCTTCAAGGCAGGGATGGAAAATCTCAACACCTGTATACCCGGTGGGGCCAGGAGCAGCCCCAGAGTCCTCACTACTCTGCTAGAAGCCAGGGCTGGCTAGCGGGTGGGTACACGCCCCCCAAGGCAGGCTCTGTTGGGAGCAGCCCCCAGGTTCAGCACCTGGGTTGCTGGCCTATCTCTGTAGATGCCCCACAAGGTTCTGGGGACACAGTCCTTCCCGCTGCTGGGGGCAGATGACCCAAGCTGTGTGACCATTGCAGCTCCTTAAAGTGCATCTTAGTCCCTGGCCGCGGCCATTCACAACCTCCGAGCCCACCAGTGAAGGGCACACACACAAGCCAGACCATTCTACATTCTGTGGCACAAAAAGACCTCCGCTCTGACTGCCACAGCCCCAGGAGCCAGTTGGGTGTTTTTTGCCACTTCGCCTGTAGGTGATTCTGGCACGAGACTGATGGTCTCCCTTTCACACCAAGTGGATACACGGAGGTCCTTAAGATGACACAGTGCTTTGCGAGAGGGAACACTTACCCATGTGATCACTCAATCAAAATAAGATCTTCATTTTTTCATCCTCCAAACCCCACCTATTTTACATGGTTCATCCTTGTGACAAACATTTTCTGAGCACCTGTGAGCCAGATCCTGGACTGTTTGGCTCTGGCGGATGGCCGAGGGTCCCTGCCCTCAAGGCATGCTGTCCCAGCTGGGAGGGGTTGGTTATGTGCACAGAGACGACCCCCGTAAGTTCAGATTGCACCTGGAGGTGGGGGCAGCAGATGGCAAGTGGTGGAGTGTGGGTGGTGTAGGGGGTCCCTCAGGGGTCACCTAGGAGTGGCCCCTGTGCAGTGCGTAGCCCCACCATGATCCTCTTCCCTTCCTTATGGCTGGTCAGGGAGGCATGCAGAGCATGCAGGCCACCAAAGTGATGGTCAGATGATAATACTGTCCTTGCACCCAACAGGCGAACTCCTGGATGGGCAGCGGGGTTTGGTGCCCTCCAATTTTGTGGATTTTGTCCAGGACAGTGAGTCACGATTGGGAAGTACTCTGGGGAACGAACAGGATCAGAACTTCATCAACCACTCCAGCACCAGCTTGGAGGGGAGGAACATTCTGGACCTCCACTCCCTCACTCACGTGGACCCCAGCGTCACCAATGGTGCAGGGACACTGGACGTGAACATTGATGATATTGGAGAGGACATCGTGCCTTACCCTCGAAAAATCACCCTCATTAAGCAACTTGCCAAAAGCGTGATTGTGGGCTGGGAGCCCCCAGCAGCACCCCCGGGCTGGGGGACTGTGAGTAGCTACAATGTGCTGGTGGACGCGGAGCTGCGTGCGAGCCTCCTGCCGGGTGGCAGGACGAAGGTCCTCATCGAGAAGCTCAATGTGGCATCCTGTACCTACCGCATCTCTGTGCAGTGCGTCACCAGCCGGGGCAGCTCAGATGCTCTGCGGTGCACACTGCTGGTGGGCAGGGATGTGGTGGTGGCTCCCTCCCGCCTCCGAGTGGACAACATCACGCAGATGTCTGCACAGCTCTCCTGGCTGCCCACCAACAGCAACTACAGCCACGTGATCTTCCTCAATGAGGAGGAGTTTGACCTGGTCAAGGCGGCGCGGTACAAGTACCAGTTCTGCAACCTCAGGCCGAACATGGCCTACAAGGTGAAGGTTCTGGCCAGACCCCACCAGATGCCGTGGCAGCTGCCCCTGGAGCAAAGGGAGAAGAAGGAGGCCAGCGTGGAGTTCTCCACGCTGCCCGCGGGTGAGTCCTGTCACCTGGCCAGGGCAGGGCACTGACACCCCCGTGCAGTGGGGCTGGAGGAGGCCGCAGAGGGAGAGAAGCTCACACAGCCAGCTTTACCAGGGGTAGCCCAGGAAGCATGGAATATGGGTGGTGAGAGAGACAGAGACAGGGCATTCCTGGGTTTTGTCTGTGGCCATGTTGCTGAAAATACTCCTTTGCACGCTTGCACCTGCCTGAGGCCCACCATCTATAAATCAGGAGCACACGTGTGCATCCTGGGGGACGGGTACATGCCCGCCACCCCCAGGGCATCACTTCCAGACATGTGCTCTGGGGGGATCACATGGGTAGTGAATGAGGTGCCACACACCTCCCAGAATGGTTCTTTCCCCACTGTTTTCTTTGGAGTAAGTCACCCACATGGGTGAATTTGTGTAGACATGAGTTACATTGTAGGCACTGTTCGGGTCCTGGGCACAACTACTTAATGTCCCCTCTGTCACTCTGTGTCCCCCTTGGCGTAGAGGCAGGACGTGCTCCCCTCCCCACTCTCCCCACACAGAAGGGAAAGTGTGGAGATGGCAAGATGGGTGAGCCCCTGGGTATGCCCGTCTCTGGCTTACCTGGATCCTAGTGTCATCCCTTAAGGGGCATCTGTCACCTCGGCCCCTGGGAATCTGGTCTTTGCTCCCATGTATGATAAGGCAGCAGCCGAGCCAGGATGGGAGCCCCAGGAGAAACAATGGTTGTTTTTGCAAAAACCTTTGAGGGTGGGATTTGCTCCTCCAGGGCCTTCTTAGCCCTTGTCACACACACGATGCCCTGATGGTGCCACGGGGCAGTCGCCTTGCTGGATTTCCCTCCTGTGGTGAACTAGCCCGGCCCTGCCCAGCCTTACTTTCCAGGAGCTTCTAAAAATGATTTCATCATTCTCAGGGTCATGTTCGGTCAACTGCCTAATGTCTTCCATCCAGAGCAAGGTGGGCTTTTGAGTTCAGGGCGGGTCCACTTTGTACTCCACCACGTCCTCAGTATTTGTGAAAGCTGTAAGCGGTGAGGTCGCACCTGCAAGGGGCAAGCCACTCTGGGCAGGAGCTGATTAGGGAGGTGGGTTCGTGTGCACTGCCTGGCTGCTGGGGTATCCTTCATGAGCACAGGGACAGTGGAGCCCCCTCTTTCCATCGAAGCCTGCTGTGACAGCTTGGCCAGGCGTGGGGGTGAAGAATCATGGTGGGGGGAGCCCATCACCAGAACAGTCAGGACAAGCTTCCGGAGGACACTAGCTTGGAGATGGGGGGTGGGGAAAGGTGTGAGGGCAGACGTGGCCCCAGGTCACCGCCAGTTACTGGGTGTCCTCATCGACCCACAGGATGGGGGCTTACATCTGATTCCTCCAGCTGTGGGGGCCGGACATCTGGGATCCAGGAAGCGGCAGATCTGGTGTCTGTGAGGACCTCTCCCTGGTTCACGGACAGTGATGTCTTGCCGCTTCCTCACTGCAGGGGGTGGGGCAGGGAGCCCTCAGGGTCTCTGTTACAAGGGTGCTGATCCACCACAGGGCTCCCCCCTTGTGACTCCTCACCTCCCGAAGGCCTCCTTCCTGACTGATGCCTCACCCCATGGATTTGAGGGGCATCACCTGGGGGTGAGCTGTCGGCACATGGATTTTGGGGGAACACATTTGGTCCATAGCAGACAATTTCATTGGAGAGGGAAATGAGTGACAGGTCTGGGGTGGGCCCCTGTGGGACTGGAAGGAGCAGGCCCCCTGGACCCAGCTCCGGGTAAGCCTGGCGGCAGTTTGCAGTGAACTACCTGCCTTCACACAATGGTCCCTGTGGGTCAGCACATCTGGGTCTGTGTGGAGGGGCCGGCAGAGGTTGGCAGGTTAGCTCCTGCTCAGTCTTCCTTCAGCCACAAAACCCGTCCCTCTGCTGTGATTTCACTTTAGGTAAGAGTGGGTACTGAAAACAGTCTCACACTGGTTCGTTCTTGTTGTTGATCTTTGCTCATAAGGATAACGAGGCCTGACAGCTTAATCATTGTCCCTCTTTGAGGCTGATTGAAGTGCCAAAGCTCGGTAGTCAAGGGACACCGGCGACCCTGGTATGAACAGGGTTCCTGAAGGCTGACATCCACTCCAGGAAGTGATGCGAGCCCTCAGATATCTCTGGCCTTTGAACAGCAGAAAAGCTGGCACACCAGGGATCCCAGGTGGGGCCAGACACCCTCCTCTGCGAGAAGCTGCTCATACCCAGGAGACAATGTGGTGGATCCTCAGAAGACTGGTAATGGGAATATGACATCACAGCTGCACGTCCTAGGATGGTTAGCAGGGGAGGGTGGTGCGTGGACTTTGGGACACCAGTTGTGAGTGTTGTTTGGAGAAGGAAATGCAGTGTTTCCAGCATTAGCCATTGCGGTCCCTAAGGTGTAGGTGTGGGATTTGAAGCCAGCATTCAGACGTGGATTTCAGATCAGACTTTAAGACTTCCTTTAGAGTCTGCAGGACTGCACATGTGTCTATGCAGAGACTTGGGAGCTGTGGGACCCCAGCAGGACTGGGACTGACAAGGCGAATTCCTAGCTGGCAGTACCACGGTCCGGTGGCCTCTGCAGAGGCCAGGCCAGTTGGCTGGAGGTGGCCAGGCTGATTCTCCTTCAAGCCTGGGCTAAGCATTGCCCTGTGTGCCCCCCGTCCTCCCAGCACCAGGCTTACTAGAAGCTTGAGTGAGGAGTCAGGGGGTTGGAATTTCTCCAGATCTGGGCTGTCCTCCTGCCTGCAGAGTGCCTTGTGGCTGCAGGAGAGGCAGGCCACCTCCCAGGCAGACAGGGAGCTGTACTAATAAAACCTCTTCAAATCTCCATATCTTAGTGTGTTTTATCTAGTTGTTATAACCAAATACTAAGAGCTATTGTCTTTATTGTTCTCATTTTCACATCATATATTGTGAAGTCCATTATTAAGTACAGACACATTTTAAATGATTAGTTCTTTCTGATGAGCTGGCCCTTTCCTCATAAAGAAATGCCCCCTTTTGCCTCTGGTATTATTTCTTGTCTTGAAGTATTTGCTGATATGACCACCAGCTTTTTTTATGCTTAGTGTTTACACATTCTATCTTTTCCGGAACTTTACTTTAAATTCTTTGTCTTCATATTTTAAGTGTGTCTCTTGTGAATAGTCTGTAGTTGGGCCTTAGTGTTACAACAGTCTGACAGCCTCTGCCTTTTAATTGGACTATTTGGTTCCTTTACAGTTAGTGTGATTGCTGACATGACTTGATTTAAGTCTTGCTCTTTGTTTTTAATTTTTCCTGTTTGTTTGTTTTTTTTATCTTTTCCTGGCTTTTCTGGTGTTTATTTAATATTTTTTCTATTCCACTTTCTTCTTTATAGAACTTTTTTTGCTATAACTCTTTATATTATTGTTTTAGAGATTCTTTGGCTGTGCCACCACTCCTGGTGTCCTCTCCTCTTTCCCTGTGGACTTCAGGGGGTGCTCTCATTCCCAGGCAAAGCCAGCCCAGCCCAGTGACGGCTTACCTGTCAAAGGGCCAAGCTGTGAAAGCTTCTCTGCCTTCTGTCCCTGCAGGGCCTCCTGCTCCCCCACAAGATGTCACTGTCCAAGCTGGGGCCACCCCAGCAACTGTCCAGGTCTCCTGGAAGCCACCGGTCCTGACGACCACTGGATTGTCCAATGGAGCGAATGTTACTGGCTATGGCGTGTATGCAAAGGGACAGAGGGTAAGTTTTGGCTGTACCAGGGAGTGCCTGATACCTGTTCAGTGGAGGGATGACCACTGGAGTCCTCCTCATATCCTCCCTGACCCCCAAGATACACTGGCACTTACTGCCACCTGCACCACCACCCCAGAGCCTGGCTGCAGAATGGTGACACCTCATCCTTCTGTCCATGTCTTTCCGGGCTTTTCTCTGCCTGTCTCCCACACCGTCTGCCCTGCTCTGGACACTTCTTGCTCTTCTCCCCCAGGTCTAAAAGTTTACCTCTCTGAAGCCTACAATATCAGACCCCTGCAATAGATGCCAGGCTCACAAATCCCACTAAAGTGATTCTCGGCAAGATGGGGTTAGTCCCAAAGGGGAGCCTGCTTGGAAACACATCACCGTCTGCGTATCAACAAAAGGCTAGGCCTTGATTCTAAGAAACAAGTGTGTCCTCAGTCCTCCTGGAGGGAAACCCAGAGTCTCAGCCCCCCACCCCTGTTCTGGCACACACAATAAACACAGCTGTCTTTGCGGAGGGACTGAGGACGCTGCTTCTGACTGTCCTCCATACCACCTGCCCAGCCCGTCCCCCTGCAAGGAGCAAGGGGTGGGATACCAGATGGATGTGAGCATGTGAGCTACCTCCAGCTCCCCTCTGCACCCTTCCTCCTGCAGGCTGCATGGACCCCTCTGCACCCTCCATGTGGGAAGCTCCCAGGCAGGCTGTTCCCCTGCACAGAGGCCACAGTCCTGTCCCCCTGCAGTGGGAATCCTGGTTCAGCCCCCACTGGCCCCTTCCCTGCCCAGCTTGGGCAGCAATGAACCCAGCATTCTGATCCTTCTACGGAGTCTGCGTCTGTGGTCTGGACATGAAAGAAAAGGGTCTGCTTAATTGATCCTCCACGCCTCCAACAGCTGGGCAGCTCCTGGGGCCTGTAGACGGCACCCTGCCCCACCTGGGCCCCCTTCTGATGCTCATTTGATTTCTAGGTTGTGTAGTACCGTTTGGGTTGGATATAGGCAGAGCTCCAATCCCTGGCCATGAAGGCAGCCTGAGAGGGCTCCTCCCTTCACGGGTACCGGGTGGGTGCAGGGCAGCCTGTGAGCTGCTTTCTCTGTGCAGGTGGCCGAGGTCATCTCCCCAACGGTGGACAGCACACCTGTGGAACTCGTGCGGCTGCGGAGCCTGGAAGCCAAGGGTGTGACCGTGCGGACCCTCTCTGCACAGGGCGAGTCTGTAGACTCGGCCATTGCTGCCATTCCCCCCGACCTCCTGGTGCCTCCAACCCCCCACCCAAGAACTGCTCCCACACCAAAGCCATTAGTGAGTGCCGGAGCCCCTGATACCAAAGATGAGCACCTGGGTCCCCACACCAAAGTGGAAGAGGCCTGGGAGCAGAGTCGGACGCCCACTCCTGCTCATGGGCACATGTTGGAGCCGCCGGGCCTGCAGGGCTCGGGCCCCGGGAGGCGGTCGCCATCACCCAGCCGGATCCTTCCGCAGCCGCAGGGTGCCCCAGTTTCTACATCTGTCGCCAAGGCCATGGCTCGGGAAGCTGCACAGAGAGTGGCTGAGAGCAGCAGGGTAAGGCTGGGGGTCCTCGCTGGTGCCACTGCTCTGGAAATGCACTCTGTCCCTCCAGCTGGCTGGTGTGGAGCCGTCCACCAGCATGAGCCATGTGGGAGGAGGACTCCAAGTGTGCAGTGCCAGGCCCTGCCTCAGTTTGGGCAAAGGGGGCCACATTTGCCCCTTGCATACATTTCAGGCCTCATCCCAACAGAATCAAATGTACCTGTAGTTTGTGAATATGGACCCATAGGACCAGAGGGAATGTGGCTATGAATGGCCCTCTGACCAGGCTGTGGTCTGTGTTGAGGGGTCTGAGAGGCACCCACTGGAAGTTGGCTTGGGGGCCCAACTTCCAAAACGAGGCCCTCCTCTTGGCCCTGTGGCTTCAGACCTGTAGCTGTGTGTGTGTGCGTGTGTGCATACATACACACATATGCACACTCATGCACACACAAGGCACATTTACATACGTGCAAAGACATACGCAAGACATACATATATATACATACCCACATCCAGAAATGCATGCATACAAATATATTCACATGCATGTTACTGGAAACTGGGCCACAGGGAGAGGGGCATTCGATGATGGTGGGGCCATATTCCAGACAGTGTGTGCAATGAGACCTGAAATTTTAAGAACCCCGAGGAAGTGATGCTTCCCATGCAGGCGGAGGAGAGGAGGTTCTGGCGTTGAGCTAGACCTCGCCCCTGCTGGGGATAAGCACCCACCCTTCTGTGGTACACTTGTTCACTAGTGTGCCCAGGTGACTGCTGTGAGCCCGTGGTCAGCAGTGCCTCTCGCACTGTCCTGCTGCTGGCAGGGTCTTTCCAGGACAGGGAGCCTTCTCTGAGATGCTGGTGCTTTAGGTGCAGCTCTGAGGGCAAGAAAAGGCCAGTAGGCAGCTGCTGCTCCCTACCCTCCAGAGGGCAGCCCTGTGGCCCCGAGACCCTCTGGCCCCCAAGAAACCCCAGCAGGAGGTGTGCCGAGAAAGCAAATCTCTGGGTTCCTTTTCCAAGAAAACATTAATTGATGAGTCGAGAGCCAGGCAAGGTGACAGACAGAGGGAGACTTTTTCCTTGGTATCCGTCCTTCACCAGAACAGTGGAGAAGGGGTTCTGGCAAGCTGGAAGGGGCCAGGGTGTTGGGTCGCTTGGCCCTGGTCCATTCGTCGTGGCTCAGAGGGTGCAGGGCTAGCCAGGGGAGGGGTATGACCCAGAGGACCCGGAGCCTGGGAGTCCCCCTACCCTGTGGCCTCTGCTCACCTGCTTCTTTCCTTCTCCCAAGTTAGAGAAAAGGAGCGTCATCTTGGACAGGAGCGGGCAGTATGCGAACTCGGATGAGGAGGACGGCTATGAGTCCCCAGACATCAGGAGGAGGGGTGCATCCGTGGACGACTTCCTGAAAGGCTCCGAGCTTGGCAAGCCGGTGAGGGTCAGATGAGGGTCCCGCATGGCCAGCTCTGTGTGGTCAGTGCTTCTGCACAGGCCCCTGGAATGGAGAGGAAGAGGTGCCATGCCCAGACTATGACCATCCCAGCCAATTTGGGAAGCTTAGATTTAATGATGCCTGTGTATCTGTGACCTCATCTGGGGACAATTTCAAATGTCTGAGTGTGAGGCCACCCCCCCACCCCCGGCTGTCCTGTGCTAGTGTGTGGCCACAGGGCGATCCCGTGGGTCCAGGGAAATCTGCAGATAGCCACCTAGTCTTTGGTTAGGCAAAACCTACCACTTGTTTATTCCCATTCCTTAATTGGCAAGTGTTGGTTGGACACCTGCTGTGTGCTAGGCATCATGGGAGGTGGGAGACACATCCCACCTTCAGAGCCACAAAATGTCCGTGCATTCCCTTCCAGGTGAGGCTCACAGTTACAAGTCCATCAATGTGGGTTTTGTCTCCAATTTCTGATCCTTCTGGACATTCTAGTGGAAACGTCCTTGATTGATGTGGAGAACTAGCACTGGATGGCAGGTGGGGTAGGAGCCAGAGAGTCCTGGGATCTGGGGAGGCAAAGCCTGAGGGCATTCAGATGTCGGATGGCCCAATGCCTCTACACACGCTCCCCCCGCAGGACTGCATCCCCGCTTGGCACAAGTGGGGGTGTCAGACTCCACACCTGGAGTCACATCCACACTCTGCCCCTGCTGATTGTAGCACCATAGCCAGGTTACCCAGCTGCTCCCACCATCAGGATCCTTATCTGTAAAGTTAAAGTAGTTCTATTTGCATTAACTTTAACATAAGAAATGGAATGCCCAGAAAATAATGACTGAGACAACCAAAATAGTTACCCGACATCATAGGAAGGCTCAGGTGAGAGGTTGCAAGGTTGATTCAGCTGCTCAGTTGTGCCTGGGCTCTGACCATTCTTTTGGCTTTTTTCTCATGGTTACAAAGTGGCTGCCATACATAGCTCCAATGTGATAGCACCCCTAGAAGGAAGGAAGGGATGGATGAAAAAAGGAAGGGACTCTCTCTTTAGGTACTTTCCTCTTAACTGGGAGAAAAATCTTTTCTAGAAGCTCCATCAGACTTCCCATTACATCTCACTGGGCAGGCCAGGGTCATGTGCCCACCACCAGGAGAGGAACAGGGTTCCCATGATGGCTTATCAATGGCTTGTCCGGCAAATAATAGATGCCTCCTGCCATCCCACGAGTTTATCCCTAACTCATTGCTGGGTTTGAATCCAATGAGACTATTCTGCCGGAGGGGAGTTCTCTCCCACATGCTTTGGGAAGACCTCAATTAAAGCCAGATCTTTGCTTATTCATTTAAAACGAATTCCCTTTTATGTCTTCTGCTCGGCGCCTGATTGAAAGAATTTGAGTCAGAGCAGCTCAAACACAGATGCAGCAAATGCTCAGGCAGAGGGCGCTCCAGGCCTCTACCCGGCATGGCTCAGGCAGGACCTTCTGCCTCCTCAGCAGGTCATGAAGGCTGTGTGACTGAAAGTGCTTACATGCCTTCATCTAGGAGAGTAATTGAAACCAGGGTATTTTTAATAAATACATCCAGGTTGCTGTTAAACACATTTGTCTTGCCACCCACCAGGAAAATAAGAAACTCCTTAATCAACCCCATCCAGCAAAAACACCATCTTTGTGACGCTTGGTGCTTGTAAGTCTGAGGTTGTCAGAGCGTGCAGTTTGAGTTGCTGCAATTCTACTCATTTTACTTCAAATCCTCGAGGTATCAGATGATGGAGCACTTTCTTTGAGTGAGGATGGGCAGTTGAGTTGAAATGGTGCCACCATGCACTACCCCGGTGGGGCTGTTTGTGTTGGGTTTGCTCGTGACCAAGGTTCTGCTGAATTTTAAAGGAGGCTTTTCTCTTGAATATTTTACTCTATCCCCAGCCCCTTCCCTGAGCCTGCCCCACCCCCAGCCCGCAATGGCATCCTCTTCACCTGGTGTCAGTTACCAAGGTGGGCACCCAGCAAACACAGCCCACATGGTGGGAGGGAGGGTCCGCTTCCTGCCTGGACCGCTCAGTGTGTGTGCATGTGGGCACTTTAGACTACATGGAATTTTAAATATGTTATATGCCTGATTTGGTGTACGGACATCGCATGACCCTGGGTCCAGCCTGCACAGTTGCGTGCCCCAAAGCCTGCTACCACCTGAGTTGCAGCCTCTGGCTTCAGCCTTTGTCCAGCTGCTAAGTTGGAGTTGATGAGGGGACCCAGAAAAGTAATGCTTTCCCACAGGCCTTACAAGCCTCGGTGGCGTTCTGCACAGCCCAGAATCCCAGGGTCAGGGTCTGTGCCTGCTTCTGTCAGCGCTGGAGCTGGGGGATCTGTGCTGGGCCTCTCTCTGTTGTCCCAGCTTGATGAGTCTGTGGACAAATAGGCCTCACTTACTGACCCTAAAGTGAGCCGCTTCCACATGCCCAGACACAGGTGGGGATGTACGTTAGCAGAGGGGGTGGAGCGAGCCAGGAGGCGGCCTTGGGGGAGCTCCTTGTTGATGTGCCCTCCATCTGCACCCCTTCCCCGGCCCTCAGCCGCACTGCTGCCATGGGGATGAGTACCACACGGAGAGCAGCCGGGGCTCCGACCTCTCAGACATCTTGGAGGAGGACGAGGAAGAGCTCTCCTTGGAGATGCAGCTGGAGGAGGGCGTCAGGAGGCGGCCCAGCGGCACACCCCACGGCACCCTCAAGGTGAGCGCCCCCCTTCCTGGGGCCGCCCACATTGGCCGCCTTCTCACTATTCAATGTCCATTAATTCCATCTGGGAATTTCCTGGCCAACTCTTTGCCAAAACGTGGTGGAGTTAGGGAGAATCCGTTTGGAAGCCCAGGGCGCCCAGGTGTGTACCAGGAGTGAAGGGGAAAGGGCAGGACTGTGAACACCCCAGGCTGCAGCTGCTCACCTAAAGCCTGCAGCTGGGAGGGAGGCTTCACCTCCAGGTCAGGTCAGACCAGGGGCTGGGACATGGGTGGCTGGGGAGCCGCTCGCCCTGCACAAGGGGAGGAAAGGGGGGCACGCTGTGGGGAGCACCAGTGGCAGTGGGGTCCACGTGGGCACTTCTCGGGTGCCTCCCCAGGGAGCCAGTCACACTGCTCCCACCATGGGATGGCTGTCAGTGAGGGGTGGGAAGGGGTCAGCCAGCAGGAGCTGAGCCCAGGGAGGCCCTTGCCCTCTGCTGCATCCCTGTCTGTGCCGGGGGCTGTCCGGCCACACCCACTCACTGACCTAGCTCAGGCCCTGATGCACAGGCTGCTCACTCCGCACTGGGCCCTACACCTGCCCTCTAGGTGCAAGGACGGATGGGGCCTGCCCTGCCACCCGTCCCAGCCTGGCGGAGATAGATGAGGGCCACACACCAGTCAGGACCTTCATGGGTTTTTCAAATGAAAAGGCCTTGGAAAGGAGAACTGCATGGGGGGGATAAAGCGCCAGCCATCCCATTCTCTAGGGGTGGAGTCATGCATCTGGAATGGCTGACAGAGGCAACGACCAAATCTGGCTGCGGACTTAGTGCCAACTTGCAAAGACTGACTTAATGTTCTGCCTGCCCAGGCCCCTGGCAGGGCCTCAGAGATATTGTCACCAAAGAACATGCCAGATCCCTCAGCAGACCCCACATGTCCACAGCCCTCCTACTCCCACTGCCCTGACCCCCAGCTCCCAAAGTGATGCCAGCCAGCAGGATTCAGTGACCTTTCTTGACAGGGTACGGCCCTAAGCTACCCCACGGTCCAGTCCGACCTCCCCACCGCTCCCCAAGCTCACCCAGAACCAGGAGCTACCAGCACATGGGTAGGTGGGCAGGTGTCTGCTCTTGCTCTACATGATACTTCCTGAGACATGTTCAGCAAAGAAGTAAAAGCTCACCATCTCCCCCTGGGGGGCCTGAGGGTAGGCAGGGTCCTTATGAACTGTGTGGCCAAGTCCCACCGGCAGGCACAGCCCCACCCATAGGACATGCCGGGAGAGCTCTGTGGGTGCCTGTCAGGGCACACGCATTCATTTGCCTGTGCTCTTGCAGGCTGACCTGGCTGGGCCAGGTGTGGTGTGGGGATCTGGCCCCACCCACAGGGCTCCTCTCCCACTTGGACAGTTGGCTGCAGCTGAGCCAGTTTCCTGTTTCCCAGGGGGTGGCCCAGTGACCTCTTGTTGGCCCTGCCTGGGCCTGGGTTGCTCCTGGGCATAGATCTCTGTGCTACACAGAGAGTCCCCTTGTCCCCAGCTATTCTTCAGAGCTGAGGCCTGGATGTCATATCAGCAGAGACCAGGCACATTCACATCCCCCCTGGCACTCAGGGCACAGGTAAACCCGCCATGTACCAGAGCTTGCAGAGCCTTCAGGCCAGCAGGGGATCAGCCAGGCTGCAAATCACGACCTTCCCGTGTGGTCTGACTCTACTGAGCATCTGCAGGAGGCCGAGGGAGGGAAGGGCAGGGGCACGCCTTGCCCACAGAGTTAGTGAAGTCCTTCCAGGGGAGCCACCTCCCAGGGCAGCATCATCAGCAGGGGTGGGGGTGAGGCTGAGGACATTCCTGGCAGAGAGAATGTGTGGCAGTGACAGGCAGGTGGCAGTCCCTGAAGCTCGGCAGGACAGTGGCCTTGAAGTGCAGGATCCAGGGCAGATGGAAAGCCTCTGGCTCTTTGCAGACCCCGATGGAGGACAGCCGCCTCGTGGGCACTGCACCTGGGTGGGGTGCAATGCTTGGGGACAGGGTCCCCAGTTTCACACATGCTTCAGCCAGGGAGAAAGGTGGTATGTAAGCACAGGAGAAAGGATTTCAGAGGGCATGGGGTGCTGGAGAGACAGCAGAGTGCTGCGGGCATGGGGTCTGCCCCGTGATCTGCCTCTAGCTGCACGCCGTGGCCCACGGCAGCTGCCTCCCAGGCTCTGAGGGTGCAGTCAGCTGGCAGTGAGCACAGCAGCTCCCAGGACCGGGCACCTTGGCCAGTGTGCAGCCTCCAGCCCCAGTTGTCTGGTGCCACTGGTGCAGCCTGCTGGCTGGCCCTGGTGTGCTCTGCCTGCGCCTGCAGTGGCATGTCTGTCTGACCCGTCTTGTTCTCCTTCCAGAGCCGGCCAGTGTGCCCCGCACTGCATGCTTCCTACCCCTCATCACATCACCTTGGAGACTAATTGTGTCTGTATTTTCTTTCCTCCCTCTGTGCACCTCATGCTGGCCACACTCTGTTTAACACCCCCCCAGGAGTGCTGTAGCGATAGGACCACTGAGAGCGCTTTCCCGCCGCTGCCCGAGCATGCCCTCCAGACCCACCACAGTCAGAGACTTTTCAGTATCCCCGAAGTAGCCGAGGAGGATGGAGAGCACTGTGAGTTCTCGCACAAGCAGGGCTTAGGGCGCCCCCTGGGGGCCAGGACAGCGCTGGCCAGAGAGCCTGGGCCCGCCAGGCCCTGCTGGGGGGATGAGGCCCCACGGGGCTCTTGGTTCCCTGCAAAAGCCCGGAGCCTGGGGGCCAGCCCCCTCACCAAGGACTTTGTTCTCGAAGACAGTGGCTGCCAATTCAGCCGCTCAGCCACCAGGAGCCCGGACAGCGGGCTGGACTGCGGGAGTGAGGAGGAGGAGCTGAGATTTAGCTTCAGGAGTACTGCTGCGAAGTGCAGCCCAGGCCCGGGGCACTGCCCCTGCAGGAGAAGCCTGAGGCCTCTGCTGGCCCGGCGGCGGACGCTGACTCGGCAGAGCAGCATCGAAGAGGACTTTGGGGAGCAGATGGACCCCAGCAACACCACCATCAGGAGCGATGACGCCCACCTGAGCCCGGAGACACCCACCCCTGGGAAGTACAGCCAGGCTGAGCCTGCTGGTCACAAAGATTTTTGGGATATCTGGAAGAAAAGCATAAAAATGCCCCACAGTAGAGCAAGTGCCCGACATGTCCAACCACCTCCCTTCTTTGCAGAAGGCCCTTTGGTGTGTGAAGTAACGTCCCCCTCGCGTCCGCTTGCCAAACCAACCCCTTTATCCTTTATTTCTTTCTGTTGGTGTCCATCCCTGGGGCCTCTGCTGGCTCTTTAGTTCTCATGCATTTTTGATTCATTGAGTCCCATTGCTTCCTGGTCTTGTCACCATGCTGATGATCTCTTTGCTTTGCTTTACAACAATGATCCCCCCGGAGTCAATGATGATTATGGCTGCTTTAATTAAAGGACAACTGAATCTAAATTTTAATTAAGGGTTAGCTGAACTATGACTATCCCAAAGTTTGGCAACACATTTTCAAAATGAACCGAAGGGGCTTGTTTGCAACTACTGGCATTATAGGTGGTATTTTTTCTTATTGCTTCTTGGCCTTCATCCATCACTGAAAGAAATGGAGTCCAATTATTGAAGAGGTCCATTATTGCATATTGTTTCCTGAGTTTTCCCTCCCAACCTCATTTTGCTCTTGTCTCCAGTTTTCAGAATGAATTTTCCATCATCAGCTGTAGACATATCCCCCTGCCTTCTCTTCCAGGCTTGCTAGTTGGTTCTCAAGAGTAGGGATTCATTCAAGGCTTCATTCATCTCTATATTGTGTCCTCTTTTCAGAACATTTGCTCCTGTCATGCTGAACTTTTCAATGAAAACAGGTGAGACATCACAGGGCACCAGGCCTCCGGTAAGAGCCTGTGCCGTTTGTGATATGTCCACGAGGGGGTGCGGATCCACAACCTGCTGACTCACCAGCCAACGGCAGCCCACAGTCTGCCCCGCCTGTAACAAGCCATCTAATTACTGGAGCTCCCTATCCATTGTGTCCTGTGCCCTGTGTCCCCAGAACTTCCTGACTCAAATTACTTACCAGTGAGCTGGAGGTTTTGCCTTGATTCTTAATGATTTCTCACCTTTATTGTAAATGAGAAGCCAACCTGTCCATAAAGGAAAACCATTCGAGGTAGCCCTGAAAATTGGTTGGTGTCTTCGGGTTGCCATGAGTTCCAAAGCTGGTGTCACACAGAGACTGTCTTTGAGTTTTGGGCAGCCTCACATGCAACTGTCCACGTGGGCCATATGGAAATGCAGCGTCTCCCCCACTCCTGTGATGGCTGGAGGAGGACAGGCCTCGTTGGGACTGAGAGGGCTGTACGGGGGCAGAGCGGCCAACGGCGTGAGGAGCGGTATTTACGCCACTCTCACCGTGGTTCGAAGTATTTGGCTTCAGCATCAATAGCAGCAACAAAACATGCCTCCCAAGGAATGCTTCTTTCCCCTGCCCCCGCCTGTGTGTTGAAAACCAACTCTGCTGTAAGAGATGGGGTGCCCAGGGTGAGCAGCTTTTTCCTCTTCCAGGATATTCAGCTAACCTTTCAGTTAAAAGCTAAGTTTAGTTGCCTTTAGAGCTTCTGCTTCTGAGTTGAATTGACTTGGCTAACTTAATTCTTTCCTCCCCAAGGATGGCAAGACTTCTGACTCTGTTGTGTTGTCTTTAGATTTTAGGAAACCCAGCATCTGCAGGACGAGCTGACAGGACAGATCGTGGGGCCCGGAGGTTCGCCCAAGGTGTGGCTGGCCCTCAAAGGTCCCGGCCGGTGATGGTCCCATCCCTCGGTTAGTGGGCCTGTCACCTTTGCCTTTCTTTCAAACACAGCACATGGCTGCTTAGTCCTCCATCTAAACACTTTTAAAAAATTGTTAGGAACATTTAAACTACATACAGAAAACTTTCACTTACTTATGGCAATAAGAAGGCAAAGATGGCACAAGATAAATAAAACCTACTTTTAGGTGTTCTCAAACCCTCATGTTGACTTTCTGTCAATTTTCATCCTACCAATTTTTTTTGGAGAGGCTAAACAATGTAAATCTTGAAGAGCGTGTGACGAGCCGCTTCTTCCGTCCTGTTCACGCCTGCATGAGATGCTCTCGGACAAAGCAGCAGCAGAAGCAGGGATGGTGGGCAAACTCCAAATATGTACACAAACCCCAAGTCACGGGGAGTTGTCTGCCCAGGCAGAGCGCTGGTGGCCGGGACTGAGGGCCATGAAAACCAGGTGCGGCCCTGCTGCCTGCTGTCCCCCTACTCTGGTCGCCCCTGGTCTGGGAGCCCGTCTGGAGGGCCAGTGCCATCCCCTCCATTACTTCTCAGAGTTTGGCCAGTCATGCTGGAGGCTGTTTTTGTCACTGTCACCAACCCGCTAAGAGGGGGTGTGTTGCTGACAGATGGGAATACTTCTGTGATTGGAATGAACCATGGAAAAAATGATTCTGAAGAGTGTTTATGCATAAGATGATGGAACCTGGTAATCAGCATAAATAAACCAGCCTTTGGTGAACACACACATACACACACGGAACAAGCCCGGAGAGCCGTCATGGAACAGAAGTAGATGAGAGCAGACCACCCTGACTGGGCAGCGCGGGGTCCCAGGAGCGGTCCAGGGCAGCCTGGCTCTGGAAGACACAGCTCTGAGTGCATTCAAATGGCTGAAGCTTAAAGGACAGTCCATCTTTTTTCACATCAACTGAAAAGAAAAACTTCATAAAGCAAAACAGATCCTCTAAAATTTTATCCTTTCAGATTTTTTTCTTTGCAGAGTCCAAACAGTAAGGGAGAGAAAGTTTCTTTTTCCATCTTTACAGTGTTTAGCATGTTTTGTTTTCATCATAAAAATTTCACAGAATGTTAAAAAGCCTCAAAAACTATTTCCAGTTAGCTGAAAAAATAACAATACACACAGGCTTGGAAAACACTGATTTCACATTACAGGGCGGCTGGCAGGGTCACGTGTTTGCTGCGCCTAAATTACCTTTAATGTTACATGTCTGGCGCCGCTCCTCACAGGTCCTCACTGAATTTGTGGGCGAGTCCCTCTGTAACAACGATGGAGCATAAGTGGGTTCCCCTGCTTAGCAGGGAAGTGGCTTTCCAGGAAGCACCTATCTCAGACGGCTCACCCGCACGCTCAGGACGGCCCTCCCACTACCGTTGGACTTGGTTTCCGAGTCTTCCTTTGACTGTAACTTTAATGAGGGAGGACTACAGCGTTGTCCATCATGCGACCTGCTGCTGTTCACACAGTCGAAACATGAGGGTCGTGGCCCTGACCCTGGTGGGCCTTCCCCTCCCTCCCCTAGGACAGAGAGGGAAAGCCTACAGAACGGACAAAAGCTGCCAGCTGGGCAAGGGAGGGAAAGCATGGGTGTGTGAGGGTATGGCCCCTCATCATTGGAGCCCTTGGCAATCCTTTAGTTGGATTTAATCCTTTAGTGGAATTTGTCCTACTGTAAAGAATTCAAAAGCCTGCATGCAAGTCTTAATTTTAGTAAGACACTAGTTACACGTTAGTAGAGAGAGAGAGTAATGGATGCTCTGTTAGCACCTTAACCAAAAAAAGCCTTTAACAATGTCACTCAGAAAACTGCTAACTACGCACGAATCTATGACAGATTTGCTTTGTTTCTAGCAATGCAAGAAACCACACAAAAAGCTTGATTAATTTCAAACACTTTATAGGTTCATACATGTAAGGAAGAGCCTATTGTATTTTCAGAAGACAAAAGTGGTATTTGTTCAGCAGCTACCAGAAAAGAGAATCCAGCGACACTGGCAGATGAATGTCCACTGACGTGTGACCAGACTCCACTATTTAACTCAAGTTCCTGTTTACTGAGTCATATTTTTCTTGTACAAACATCAGCAATTAATAGCTTAGAAATCTGTACTCCAAAAGCACCAATTTTCTTTTTCCAGAGGAACTGAGATCCGTAGACCATGTGCCTCCTAAATATATTTTTAATAAGCAATGTGTTCACAATTAAGTAAAAATTCTATACCTTTTAATATTCCCTGGGTTCCCTAAATTAGGAAAACAATGCCCCTCCTCCTGATTTAAAAAGCCAAAAATCATGTAGCTCCGGGTCTAATAAATTCTTAATTACACATGTAGCCTAAGGAGGGCCTCAGAACACGGATAGGCTCCAAAGGCCAACCGAGTTGGGTCTGGTTTCTTCCTTTATAATTTCTGGTCCCGGCATCTGTCTAGTTACTCATTTGTCAGACTGAAGGTCTGAGGACACCCTCCGAGCATCCCCGAGGACTCGGCTCTTACGAATGGACTGGGAAGATCTCCATTCTCTCCTATCCCCCAGTTATTCTGGCTACTGAGCTTGGAGGGTGGGGCAAGGTGGTATGTTTTCTCTATGATCAGAAGGGAAAAACCAGAAATGAATAACAAATGAAGCTCCCCTTTGGCAAGGACCCTGGGGCCAGGCCGAGGCGGGAATGTGCACTCCCAGTGGGCCACAGCTGGCGGTAGCTTCTCTGGTAGTCCAGCTTGCTGCTGTGCCAAAGGGCCTCCTGCTGTCCACCGCAGCCTCTGGTGAGGCCAGGCTCCACGGACACATTCCACAGAGGCCACCATTCTCTCCCCACCAAGGTCTGTCCGGTTCTTGGAAAACATTTCACGTGCCCTCTCTTGGAGGGAAGTCCACTCACACTTTCACCTACACACATCCAACTAAGTGCTGGCCCACCTTGCCTGCCCAACCCCCTTCCCTCACCCCAGGACTCATCTGTGCCCATCACATGCACCCTGGAGGGAGCCTTCCTGCCCACATGCCCCCCAAGGGGCCACCACTTACCTGCTTAGTGTCACTGTGCCTCTGCACATCATGGTCCCCAAGCCTGAGCCAACTGTGAGGACATTTTCTTAGTGTGGCCACAGGAGGGACTTAGGGTGTCTGTCATGCCCAGCCCTCCTGCCGTCCCTGACCCCATCCTGGTGGTTGCTCCACATCACACCATGCTACTCCGTGGGAGAAGCGCTGAGGGCCCACTGGGCAAATGCAGCCCGAGCCGCAGCCACAGGCCTGCTTTGCTGACAGTTTCCCACAGCTGAATGGCATTTCCGAGATCACACAGACATTGGCATGAACCCTCCTGCAAACCTCCAGCGGGCACCCACCGAATCAAAAACTAGCATCCTTCCTGTGCTGCTCAGCGTCTCCTCTTCCACGAGCCAAGAGGATGGGAAACCACAGCAGAGATGCGGGCACAGATTCTTGGGCCATGGGTTGGCTTCCTGTTAGCGCCACACTATTGAGTTCAGGTGACCTTTACAACAAGGAAAAACACATATCTTTTCATCGACTGTAAACAAAATCAAAACCTGTGTGAAGAATTTCTGTATGAAGAAGTTTTGTTTAAAAGTTACGTTCCCTAGCAGAAGTGAAATTACTGAATTTTTACATCACTTAGGCATCCTGAAAAGATCTTAAATTTGAGTCTAGCATCAATAGCAGCAACAAAACATGCCTCCCAAGGAATGCTTCTTTCCCCTGCCCCCGCCTGTGTGTTGAAAACCAACTCTGCTGTAAGAGATGGGGTGCCCAGGGTGAGCAGCTTTTTCCTCTTCCAGGATATTCAGCTAACCTTTCAGTTAAAAGCTAAGTTTAGTTGCCTTTAGAGCTTCTGCTTCTGAGTTGAATTGACTTGGCTAACTTAATTCTTTCCTCCCCAAGGATGGCAAGACTTCTGACTCTGTTGTGTTGTCTTTAGATTTTAGGAAACCCAGCATCTGCAGGACGAGCTGACAGGACAGATCGTGGGGCCCGGAGGTTCGCCCAAGGTGTGGCTGGCCCTCAAAGGTCCCGGCCGGTGATGGTCCCATCCCTCGGTTAGTGGGCCTGTCACCTTTGCCTTTCTTTCAAACACAGCACATGGCTGCTTAGTCCTCCATCTAAACACTTTTAAAAAATTGTTAGGAACATTTAAACTACATACAGAAAACTTTCACTTACTTATGGCAATAAGAAGGCAAAGATGGCACAAGATAAATAAAACCTACTTTTAGGTGTTCTCAAACCCTCATGTTGACTTTCTGTCAATTTTCATCCTACCAATTTTTTTTGGAGAGGCTAAACAATGTAAATCTTGAAGAGCGTGTGACGAGCCGCTTCTTCCGTCCTGTTCACGCCTGCATGAGATGCTCTCGGACAAAGCAGCAGCAGAAGCAGGGATGGTGGGCAAACTCCAAATATGTACACAAACCCCAAGTCACGGGGAGTTGTCTGCCCAGGCAGAGCGCTGGTGGCCGGGACTGAGGGCCATGAAAACCAGGTGCGGCCCTGCTGCCTGCTGTCCCCCTACTCTGGTCGCCCCTGGTCTGGGAGCCCGTCTGGAGGGCCAGTGCCATCCCCTCCATTACTTCTCAGAGTTTGGCCAGTCATGCTGGAGGCTGTTTTTGTCACTGTCACCAACCCGCTAAGAGGGGGTGTGTTGCTGACAGATGGGAATACTTCTGTGATTGGAATGAACCATGGAAAAAATGATTCTGAAGAGTGTTTATGCATAAGATGATGGAACCTGGTAATCAGCATAAATAAACCAGCCTTTGGTGAACACACACATACACACACGGAACAAGCCCGGAGAGCCGTCATGGAACAGAAGTAGATGAGAGCAGACCACCCTGACTGGGCAGCGCGGGGTCCCAGGAGCGGTCCAGGGCAGCCTGGCTCTGGAAGACACAGCTCTGAGTGCATTCAAATGGCTGAAGCTTAAAGGACAGTCCATCTTTTTTCACATCAACTGAAAAGAAAAACTTCATAAAGCAAAACAGATCCTCTAAAATTTTATCCTTTCAGATTTTTTTCTTTGCAGAGTCCAAACAGTAAGGGAGAGAAAGTTTCTTTTTCCATCTTTACAGTGTTTAGCATGTTTTGTTTTCATCATAAAAATTTCACAGAATGTTAAAAAGCCTCAAAAACTATTTCCAGTTAGCTGAAAAAATAACAATACACACAGGCTTGGAAAACACTGATTTCACATTACAGGGCGGCTGGCAGGGTCACGTGTTTGCTGCGCCTAAATTACCTTTAATGTTACATGTCTGGCGCCGCTCCTCACAGGTCCTCACTGAATTTGTGGGCGAGTCCCTCTGTAACAACGATGGAGCATAAGTGGGTTCCCCTGCTTAGCAGGGAAGTGGCTTTCCAGGAAGCACCTATCTCAGACGGCTCACCCGCACGCTCAGGACGGCCCTCCCACTACCGTTGGACTTGGTTTCCGAGTCTTCCTTTGACTGTAACTTTAATGAGGGAGGACTACAGCGTTGTCCATCATGCGACCTGCTGCTGTTCACACAGTCGAAACATGAGGGTCGTGGCCCTGACCCTGGTGGGCCTTCCCCTCCCTCCCCTAGGACAGAGAGGGAAAGCCTACAGAACGGACAAAAGCTGCCAGCTGGGCAAGGGAGGGAAAGCATGGGTGTGTGAGGGTATGGCCCCTCATCATTGGAGCCCTTGGCAATCCTTTAGTTGGATTTAATCCTTTAGTGGAATTTGTCCTACTGTAAAGAATTCAAAAGCCTGCATGCAAGTCTTAATTTTAGTAAGACACTAGTTACACGTTAGTAGAGAGAGAGAGTAATGGATGCTCTGTTAGCACCTTAACCAAAAAAAGCCTTTAACAATGTCACTCAGAAAACTGCTAACTACGCACGAATCTATGACAGATTTGCTTTGTTTCTAGCAATGCAAGAAACCACACAAAAAGCTTGATTAATTTCAAACACTTTATAGGTTCATACATGTAAGGAAGAGCCTATTGTATTTTCAGAAGACAAAAGTGGTATTTGTTCAGCAGCTACCAGAAAAGAGAATCCAGCGACACTGGCAGATGAATGTCCACTGACGTGTGACCAGACTCCACTATTTAACTCAAGTTCCTGTTTACTGAGTCATATTTTTCTTGTACAAACATCAGCAATTAATAGCTTAGAAATCTGTACTCCAAAAGCACCAATTTTCTTTTTCCAGAGGAACTGAGATCCGTAGACCATGTGCCTCCTAAATATATTTTTAATAAGCAATGTGTTCACAATTAAGTAAAAATTCTATACCTTTTAATATTCCCTGGGTTCCCTAAATTAGGAAAACAATGCCCCTCCTCCTGATTTAAAAAGCCAAAAATCATGTAGCTCCGGGTCTAATAAATTCTTAATTACACATGTAGCCTAAGGAGGGCCTCAGAACACGGATAGGCTCCAAAGGCCAACCGAGTTGGGTCTGGTTTCTTCCTTTATAATTTCTGGTCCCGGCATCTGTCTAGTTACTCATTTGTCAGACTGAAGGTCTGAGGACACCCTCCGAGCATCCCCGAGGACTCGGCTCTTACGAATGGACTGGGAAGATCTCCATTCTCTCCTATCCCCCAGTTATTCTGGCTACTGAGCTTGGAGGGTGGGGCAAGGTGGTATGTTTTCTCTATGATCAGAAGGGAAAAACCAGAAATGAATAACAAATGAAGCTCCCCTTTGGCAAGGACCCTGGGGCCAGGCCGAGGCGGGAATGTGCACTCCCAGTGGGCCACAGCTGGCGGTAGCTTCTCTGGTAGTCCAGCTTGCTGCTGTGCCAAAGGGCCTCCTGCTGTCCACCGCAGCCTCTGGTGAGGCCAGGCTCCACGGACACATTCCACAGAGGCCACCATTCTCTCCCCACCAAGGTCTGTCCGGTTCTTGGAAAACATTTCACGTGCCCTCTCTTGGAGGGAAGTCCACTCACACTTTCACCTACACACATCCAACTAAGTGCTGGCCCACCTTGCCTGCCCAACCCCCTTCCCTCACCCCAGGACTCATCTGTGCCCATCACATGCACCCTGGAGGGAGCCTTCCTGCCCACATGCCCCCCAAGGGGCCACCACTTACCTGCTTAGTGTCACTGTGCCTCTGCACATCATGGTCCCCAAGCCTGAGCCAACTGTGAGGACATTTTCTTAGTGTGGCCACAGGAGGGACTTAGGGTGTCTGTCATGCCCAGCCCTCCTGCCGTCCCTGACCCCATCCTGGTGGTTGCTCCACATCACACCATGCTACTCCGTGGGAGAAGCGCTGAGGGCCCACTGGGCAAATGCAGCCCGAGCCGCAGCCACAGGCCTGCTTTGCTGACAGTTTCCCACAGCTGAATGGCATTTCCGAGATCACACAGACATTGGCATGAACCCTCCTGCAAACCTCCAGCGGGCACCCACCGAATCAAAAACTAGCATCCTTCCTGTGCTGCTCAGCGTCTCCTCTTCCACGAGCCAAGAGGATGGGAAACCACAGCAGAGATGCGGGCACAGATTCTTGGGCCATGGGTTGGCTTCCTGTTAGCGCCACACTATTGAGTTCAGGTGACCTTTACAACAAGGAAAAACACATATCTTTTCATCGACTGTAAACAAAATCAAAACCTGTGTGAAGAATTTCTGTATGAAGAAGTTTTGTTTAAAAGTTACGTTCCCTAGCAGAAGTGAAATTACTGAATTTTTACATCACTTAGGCATCCTGAAAAGATCTTAAATTTGAGTCTGTAAACAGCTCACTGCATTGTAAAAATCAAGTTTTCCTGCAGCAGTGGGCTCTTTATTTTTGAACTCAATTATTTTGCTGGTGAAAGAAGCCACAGAGCAGGGCTCTTTCCCTAGCACCTCCCGTCTTGCACATACCAGTGAATCCCCACATCCTCCTGTGCAACTGGTGCTGGTAACAAAAGTTTCAGCAGGCTGCTTGTCCCACCCCTACCCTCCGTTGTGATGACCAGTTTTTCCCATTTGCTCCCCGTGGATGTTCGGAGCCCTCCTATGGTCAGAGCAGCATTATCTGCCAGCAGAACCCGCTTCTCTCTGTCATTGCTACATATTATGATGCATATCACATAGTCATTGGCATATACAAGTAGTGGTCATATATTATGATATATATATATATATCTAATGTCTGTATGATATTGAATAATCATCAAGCATCTATATTAGGATTTCAAAAAGTATAATTTTTAGAAGCTGCATAGCAGACGGAGTTGAAACTCAGTTCTGCCAGGAAGTCATTAAACTCTAGTGAGGAACGTGTTGCCATTTAAATATTTAGAGCCACTTGGACAGCTTGGTCACTGTATTGAACTGTGACCAATACACAAATGCACTTTAAACATCTGGTGGGCCTTAGTTTGCGTGTTGTGGGGACACAGAGTGAGCAGGTCTCTGCAGTGTGGCCCAGCCTGAGTCCCCCACACGACCCAGGCCACTGGCCCCCCATCCTGCACTCAGGCCTGCTCTGTGGTGAGGCCAGAGCTGCCTTCTCTCACTGCCACAGGTCATCTCAGGGTGTAAGTTTCTGAGTTAAATGTGGGGGGTCACCAGCAGGAATCACCCAGAACCCTGTCCTTTATCCCCACACTCCCAGATGGGTACAGCGGGCGGGACCATCTTTCTCCGGACACCTATGAAGAGTCAGAAACCGACCCTGGTACCGAAGAGCTCCCAGCCCGGATCTTCGTGGCGCTCTTTGACTATGACCCGCTCACCATGTCCCCAAATCCAGACGCAGCAGAAGAGGAGCTTCCCTTTAAAGAAGGACAGATCATCAAGGTGGGGGTCCTGAGGGGGCGGCCAGCCAGTGGGGAAGAGGCGACACCCAGTTGATGGGCTTTCTCTAATATACTTAAGGTTCAGTCCTCTGAACCTCACAGGAGGAAGAGCCGTGTGAGTTTGAAGTAGGAAGGTGAGAAAAAGCTGATACTCAGTAGGAGGGGAAGGGGTGTAAGTCTGCAGACATCAAAGGGCTCTGACAGCTCAGATGTGAAGTGGTTGTACTGTCTGTCCTGAAGAACAAGTAGAGCCTACAAAGGGTGGGATGCTCACCTCAGAGAACTTTAGTCGAGATTTCTAGCTTCTAGAATACCTGACACATGGCACTGCCCTCTTCTGCAGGTGCCCATGTGCTGTGCTGTGTGTGGTCACAAAGCCTCTGTGTGGAGTGGGGGGGCTTGTCATACATGCCATAACTTGTGTGGGTTCATATACACATGCTTGTCATGTCAAACCATTGCCTCAGCTTGCAGCCCCTACTTGATGGAAGGCCAGTGGGTTGTTCAATCCCTGGAGGAGACACTGGTTCAGGCGTTGTGGCTTTATAGGGTGAGGGCTACGCACACATCACAGGATACAGGCAGGTGACTCATGGTGCTCTGAGAGCAGGTATGACTGCATGATTCACTGTAAGTAGAGCTGGTGTCTTTCTGAGCCAACCAGTCACAGTGCCTTTCTTCACCTCCGGCTCTAGGTCTATGGTGATAAAGACGCAGATGGGTTCTACCGTGGGGAAACTTGTGCCCGCCTTGGCCTCATCCCTTGTAACATGGTGTCTGAGATCCAGGCAGACGATGAGGAGATGATGGACCAGCTTCTTAGACAAGGCTTCCTCCCTCTTAACACACCCGTGGAGAAAGTAGGTAAGAGATGGCCCCTGCTCACCCAGGACCCTGGCTAGACCGTGTCTGCCTCCCAGGTGGTGTTTCATGGCACAAAACACCAGTGCAGAGCAGGAGGCAGCGCTGCGCAGAATCCAGTCCGCAGCCCTGAAATGTTCCAAAGGAATCTGAAAATTAGCCATCGGCTTCTCTTGGGTAAACCACTCTGTAAACAAGAGCTGTATCATCCTGCATGCTGTGTAGATATATGTGCACCTAAATATTTAGGAAAACACAGATGAACTCCTGATGGGAGGTGAAGTCCAGCCTTGCATACTTGAGTCCATTACATCTAGAAAGCTTTTTGGTAGCTTTGGACTGAGTGTCTGTGTCCCCTCAGGTCACATGTTGACATCTAGCTCTCAAGGTGATGGTGTTAGGAGGTTGTTAGGTCATGAGGGCACAGCCCCCATGAATGGGATCAGTGCCCTCATAGAGGAGACCCCAGGGAGCTCCCTGCCCCTTCCCCCACTGAGGACATGGCAGAGGCACCATCTATGGACCTGGAAAAGGAACTCACCAGACACCGAATCTTCCAGTGCCTTAATCTCACATGTCAGCCTTCAGAGCTGTGAGGAAGCAACGTCTGTTGTTTAAGCCCCCAGCCTGTGGCATTTTGTTGTAGCAGCCCAAACAGACTAAAGACGTTGGTAATATACTTTGAAAATTATCCTATCTGTACTAAATTTGAAAGGATAATGGGGTAGTATATTTTCCATTTTTCAGGTAAATTTTGCTTATCCCAAAGGCATAAACAATTTTTGCCCTTTAATCTGGATTGATACTAAATCCTTTCATTTATCTTGAACCAATCTGCAAGCACTAGTGAACAAACAGCGAAACTATTTTCAGTGAGTTTTAGGCAACATTGCAATTATTATCTTTAATTATTCTCGTGTGAGGAAAATCTACTCATTAAAAAGATCTCTACTTTTTCCAAATAGCTGTAGGCAGAAAGTTAAGTTTTATGTCATTCTTACTTAAGGTTTTAATACTTCACAACTATTAGATTAACTTCTAAATCAAACACAAGATTCAAATATTCAAAGAATATGGGTAATTTTAAGGATGATCACAAAATTAAACTATGTTTCAACCTTTTTGGTATTAATGAACCTGTCTCAAGTTAAAATCCACACCTAATAGGTGAAATGTTGTCTAGATTCAGTCTACTAGACTGACGATCTCTTTTCCCATCATCGTGCATTATAACTAGTGCAGTGAAAGAAGGAAGAGATGGTATACAGACTGGAAAGGAAGAAATTCCACTTTTTCCATTCACAGATGATTTGAAAATATTAAAAGAATCCATCAAAAAAGATTCTAGAACAAGTGAGCTGAGCAAGGTCAATGGATGTGAAAGCAACTATATTTCCATATGATAGCAATGAAAAAACTGAAATTTGAATTTAAAAAGTTAACATCTTTTACAGTAATGTAACAAAGACAAGAACTACTTAGGTTGGAATCTAGCAAAATATGTGCAGAGTCTGTATGTGGGAAACCATACACTGAAAGAAATCAAGGAATTCCTCAACAGAAAGAGACATCATGGTCACAGGCTTAATACTGTCAAGATGTCAAATATCCCCACAGCGACCCACAATCCCAGTCTACATCTGTGCGGAGATGTAGGCAGAATCGGTAAGCTAAATCTGAAATCCATACATAAAGACAAAAAACTAGAATCGCCAAAGCAATCTTTAAAAAGAACCAAAATGTAAGACTCATATAAGCTGATTTTAAGAGTGGCATGGGTGAGCTAATCAAGACAAGGAGGGATGGGAGGATGGACAGGCAGAGACCAGCAGAGTAAGTGGAACCCAGAGACACACCAACACATACGTGGTCAACTGATTTTGGACAGAGGTGAAAAGACCATTCAGTGGAGAAAGGACAGTCTTTTCAGTAATAGTTGTTGGAATTACTGGATGTCCAAAATGAATCTCAGGCCAGACTGTCACCATATTAAACAAATTAACTCAATGTTAAACATTGTCTTAAATATAAAAACTAAGACTATAAAACTTCTAGAAGAAAATAAAGGAGAAAAACTTTACGATGATTAGGCAGGGATATTTTTGATATGACGTCAAAAACATGACACATAGAAGAAAAAATCTGATGTTAGACTCATCACAATTAAATACTTCTGAGCTTAGAAAGGCACCATTACAAGAATAAAAAGAGAAGCCACAGGCTGGCAGAAAATATTTGCTAGTAGCTCAGCTAAAATGGTATTTGTATTTAGAAGTCATAAAGAATTTTAAAATCCAACAATAAAGAAAACAACCCAATAAAATGTGGACAAAAGATTTGAAGAGATCCTTCACCGAAGAAAACATATGGAAGGTGAACAGGCTTATTGAAAGATGCTCAACATCACCAGTGATGTAAAAATGAAAACCAGGACGAAAATGAAAGCCAGCACACACCCATGAAGGCGAGTACCGGACGTCCCCAGGTGCTTCTCTGCAGTGGGCGGGGGTGGAGAATGGTTCCACCTCATTGCCACACAGCTGGGTGGGTTCTTAGAAACATTCATTTATAACATGATCCACATACAATACGATCCTATATACTTACCAGACAAATGAAACTTATGTTCACACAAAAAAAATACCATACGTGGTTGTTCAAAGTGGTCTGGCCAGTAATCGCTGATAAGTGGTAACAACTCAAATGCCTTTTGCCTGTAAGTGGACAAATGATGGGGGCATCTGTGCAACGGGGCACCGCTCCCCAGGGAGGGTGGAACTCCTGATGGCTGCAACAAAATGAGTGTATCCCAGAGGCACTGTCCAAATGAAAGAAGCCCATCTGGAAAAAGCTGCATTCTGTGACCCCATTTAAATGATGTTCTGGAAAAGGCAAAAGTTTTGGGACAGAAAACAGACTAGTGCTTACCTGGGGCTGGAGATGACAACAACAGGGCACATAGGGATTTGGGGGGGATGGAACTGTTCTATATGGTTGTATGGCCATATGAGTTTGTCACAACTGGCCAAAGTATGCACTAGAAAGAGGGAATTTTATTGTTATTCTTCCGTAAAGAGTACATGTGTATGGTTATTGCCACATGCTTGTAACATTCCCTGTGGAATTAGCGAACCTCTGGAATTAATAACTCTGTATAGCTGCCTCTTGAACAACTTGGAGGGAAGGGACACATACATCCAGCTGGGCCCTATACCTGTGGAAAACCACAGAAAAACAACATCACTAACTTCAGCTGCTTTCAAAAGACTTGGCTTTAACAGTTTCCATCTGTATATTTTGAATTCCCAAAATCAATCATAGGGAAAAAGTGGCTATGTTTGGAAGAAAGGCTTAAATGCTCACTTTCTCCAGGAGAAATGTCATTCACAAGCCCAAGGAAAGTGGTGGACAGGGAGGTCTCTGGGGCAGATGCCCTGGCTCTGCCCTGGTGAATTCCGAGCAGCTGTTTCAGGGTCTGCTCGCCTGCCATCTGCATGGAATGCCCTTTGTGCCCTTCTCGGGCCTCTGGGTGTGCTGTGGGCATGCCTGGGCATTGTCCATAGGGACATGGCTGGGGACAGGGGCAGATCCTGAGTGCACACTCCCGACATGCACCTTGTCAATGACGGCTGTTGTTTGACAATGGAAGTTACTGGAGGAAGCAGTGGGGCAGAGCCCGGGGGACCGGCAGAGAGGCCACCCTTCTGTTCTAGCTTTTCCTGATGACAGACCCCTGGTGCACTTGCTGTGAGGGACAATAACTTGATTTTGTGGTTTTGTAGTAATTACCTGGACAAGCATTTATGAAATGATGTTTGTGGGGCTTCCTCAGAGCAGCTGTCAGACCTCCAGGTGGCCCACTGGCCTGAGCCACACCCGCCCTGTGTGGCCCCTCACAGGTCAGATTTACTGTGAGAGAGAATTCCCTGCTTCCTCCAAGTCTCCCTCTCTGGGGAAAGGAAGATGTTCTTGGTACCGTAAAGGGGGGCTATCCAGAGCAAAAATGTAAAACCAGGAACCCCAGGTAGGCCCCAAATGCAGCCTTGCTGTCACTAGTGCCTATGAGCACTATGAGTGGGCATCTCATCCCACTGCCACAGGGGCAAGGAAGGGAGGCACCACTCATTCTGCAATGACTTCATGGTGGCTTTCTTCTCCTTGTGATGTAAACAGAGAGAAACAGAAGGGGTGGCAGGTGGCACTCGGTGACTACTCGGAGAATGGTGGCCCTGTACGACTATGACCCGAGAGAAAGCTCACCGAACATTGACGTCGAGGTACTCGCTAAACACGGCTTCCTGGCTGAGGACACAGTGCCCTGCACATGCCCTGCAGAGCCGCTTGGGAGCCCACACATAACCTGCTGGGGCTCCTCTCCCCTTCTCTGTACCACCAGTGATGGTGGGACCACTGGCCAGGCCTAGAGGAGCTGCTGAGCCCCCCAGACACGCTTGGGCATGATAGTCCTTGGGGCCTGGGCTTCCCCATATCTCTGCTGGGAGAGCAGTCTGTGACCCACATCTAGTGGTGATGGCTCAACAGGGACATCATGAAGGGAGAAAAGCCCACTGTGTGTGGTCACTGAACAAAAGCAAAGCAGTGGCTCCCACACATACTCAAGGGAAAGCAGGAGGAAAGGGTCAGTGTCCTCCACACGCAGAGCCGCATGCCTTGGGTCCTCAGTGCCCCGTGAGAATGGGAAGGGATTTGCCTTCAAAGTGAGAGAGCAGGTTTTCCATGGAGCTGCTTTCCAAGACTATGAGATGTATCTGAATCTCCACTACACAGCGTTTCTGTGATACCTGACAAGCTAGCTGCTAGTGGTTCAGATGCAAAGCTCAGGTTCCACAGAGTTTTCTGGGCAGGCTAGGTTTATATCTGATGCGTGCTGGCTCTTAGATATGAATTTTCTGCCTTCATTTTCATGTTTAGAGATAAAACTGCATCTTTTTTTTGCATCCTTTAGTAGATTCTAGGTGCCCATGTCTAGGCTGGTGTCTGGCACACAGAGGACACTTATTAGACATTAATTAGTGACAGAATAAAGATTATTTTACACTCAGTGAAAGGATATTTATGTAATAGTCCTTACACTGCAGAGAACACTTCCCTAATGTTAACTGTTTCAAAAGTTAACTATTTGGCTGGTTTTAAAGATGTATTACCAGTAAGTAGAACATGGTGACAATTGTGAATTCTGGCCAAAAATCAAAGCATGGGGCTTTTCTTCTGGTTGGCCTTATTTTGAGTTGGAGGTACTTTCAAGAGGTTATGAACAGAGGCATCCATTCACTCTGTACCTTCCTTCCTTCTTTTGATTGAAAGAGATTAATATCCCAAATGATAAAAAAAAAAAATAGAGAAGTGAACTTTTTAAAAAAAGGCAACTACTTTGTACAAAAACTACTAGCTTTATATTCTCTCTCTACAGGCTGAACTTACGTTTTGCACAGGAGATATTATTACTGTTTTTGGCGAAATTGATGAAGATGGGTTTTATTATGTAAGTTTTTGACACACCAAGAAGCACCATTTCATTCATTTTCTATATATATATTTTTGCTTGTCTTTTTTCCCCTGAAATTATGTGTGAACTTTATATGGCTTGCTGGAAGGTTTTGACTAATTGGCTTGTCTCTCTTCACTGAGTTTCGTATGAGACAGAGACAGCTATGACCCCCATTGTTCCTTCTAAGAGGGGGACTTACCATGTATATAAACTGTGAACAAAGTAAAATATTCACACTCTTACAATTAAAATTTCTTCCATCCAAACATGTACCAATTTAATATTCTGGATTGCTTGTTGCACAGGTAATAGATACATTTTCATTTAAGAAAGGAATACAAATAGACAAGATTCTCTAAATAGTTTAAGCCATTAGCGTCTGGAATGCCTCCCTGGCCTCCCCTCTTGAGCTGGCCACTGTTAGCAGGATGGGCTTCAGCTGCTGGGTGAGGTGGTTCTGACTGGGTCTGCCCCTCCCTGGGCATTGCCCACAGGGCCATGAAGAAGTGGCCTGCCTGGCCCAGGAGCTTGCTGTGGCAGGTTGGGAGCAGGGTCACCATCTTGCACCAGTCCCCACCTCCCCCCATTAATTTTATCAGAATAGCCAAGAGACAACCAGTCCTGGTACGGCAGGTTTCTCCTTGAGTCAAGCAGATTCCCTACCTCAGGCACGCATGGCAGTTCAAGGTAGCCTGCTCTGCAGGGCCTGGTGACATACAGCATAGAGCACGGTTCTTCGTGAGGCTATTCACGTATTTCTTCCTAGATCAGATGTAGAGGGTCTCAGTGGGGAACTGTCGAAATCAAGTTGTCTTTTAGAGAAAGTTTTCCTGTCAAAGGTTTTGGAAGTGGGCTGCTGGAGGCAGGTGGGCTCCTGTAGGCTAGGTGACAGCTCTGGAGCAGGCCCGGTAAGGAACAGAGATGATGGCAGAGGAGGGTGCACAGATGGTAACTTCAGTCCCACCCAGAGCTCCAATCACTCACTAGGGCAAGAGTGCCATGCCCACGGGACCCCAGATTCTGCCTTGGCAATGGTACCCTTGGGAACAAAGGAATAACACAGCTGAGAGAAAACAGTGAGATTGAGGGGTGGGTGTGAATGGGAGATGGCAGCCTCTCTGGGTTGAACGGGGTTCTTGCCAAGGCTGAGGTGCCAGAGATGTGGAAGATTCTAGTGGCCTCAATGCAGCAGCACACAGTGGGGATGGCAATGCTTCTGGTAGATGGGCAGGAAGCCTGAGAAGACAGGTGGGAGATGGCCCTGTGGCAGTTCCATCTGCTGCTACCCAGGGCACCCAGAGCAGGACTTGCCAAACGTCACACATGCCGAGACTGTGGGTCTCCGTTCCACACACCTCCTGTGGTGCAGATGTGCTGCCAACGGGATTTGTGGGTGCAGCCTTATGTGTTCATCAAGCAGGTTCCCAGACACAAGCCAACTACTCCACCTGGTGCTCACCCAAAGAAACAAGTCTTCTCTGATGCTGGTGGAAAACCCGGCTGTGCTGGGTTATAGAGAGGTCTGGACTGCACAGAAACGTGTCTGTGTGCTGACATTATTCGCAGTCATTGGTGTGGAAGAAGTCCCCAGGGACACATGTATAGTGAAATACGATGTCCTAGAAAAGGTCTCTAAGTAAACTGATAGCAGAGCCGGAGAAAGGAGGATTGGATGTGTCAGAGGAGTGGAATTCTCAAGGTCAAGGCAAGGGCAGGGGCCAGACCAGTTGTAGGAAGGATTATCGCACAGGAAGGCATGAGAGGTATTTGGGGCGTCCTCTTTTTTTTAAATCAGTTTCTATTCCTAAATTTAGAAATATTTTGATTTTTTATAATTTTTATCTCATTTGTGGTAAATAAAAATTCTCCATCATCATTTTTAAGTGAACAGTTCAATGTAATAAATAATTCACATTGCTATACAACCATCCCCACCATCATCTCCAGAACTCTTCTCCTCCTGCGAAACTGGCAGTCTGTCCCCAGTAAACACTGTTCACCCATCACCCCCACCCCCGCCTCCCTTGTACCCTCTGGTCTGCTTCTGTCTGTATGAACCTGACTCCTCTAGAGACCTCATGTGAATGGCATCATACAGTGTGTGCTTTCCCATGGCTGGCTATTTCACTCAGCATCATGTCCTTCCTTTTTAAGGCTGGACAGTGTTCCACTGTAGGGCGAGACCGCACTGTGTTCATGCATTCATCCATCAACAGACACTTGGGTTTCTTCTACCTTATGGCTGTTGGGAATAATGCTACTGTGGACACAGTATGCAAGTATCTCTCCAAGACCCTGCTTTCAATTCTTTTGGGTATATGCCCAGGAGTGGGATTGCTGGTATATGGTAATTCTGTGTTTAATTTTTTGAGGAGCCACCACACTGTTTCCCCCATACTGGCTACACCATTTTCATTCCTGCCAGCAGCACCCAAGGGTTCCAATTTCTCCATATCTTTACCACCACCGTTTTTTGTTTAAAAAGTATTTTTACAGTAGCCATCCTAGTGGAAGTGGGCTTTGATTTGCGTTTCCCTAATGATCACTGACGTGGAGCCTCTTTTCCTGTGCTTCTTGGCCATCTCTGTCTTTTGGGGGGAAATATCTAGTCAAGTCCTTTGCCCAGTTTGTCCTTCTGTTGTACTGCAGTTCTTTCTAAATTCTAGAGATTAGCCCCTTATTAGATACATCCTCCCATCCTGCAGGTTTTCTTTCCACTCTGTCAACTGTGTCCTGGGAGCCAGTTTTGAATTCTGATGCTGTAGGCTGCGTCTTTCACTGCTATCTCCTCAACCCTGTAGACACAGATGCAAACTCCCATGGTTTCTGGGGCCAGCCAGCCTTGGACTTGGTTTTGGGCACTTGTGGGGCAGGTTAGCATTGTGGGGTGGGGAAGAAGTGACGTGGTGTGCTGTGACCTGCTCAGTTCAGATGCCCAGTGGGCAGTTGGACCTTTGGATTGTAACAGTATCTATGTACTTGCATATAGATACGTAAAAGAGTAGAAAGGTCTGGAAAGATATACACCACCCTCAAGCAGTAATCTCTGAGGAGGTGTCAACACTTTAATTTTCTCCATATTGCCTGAGTTCTTACAACGAGAATGGAGTCCTATGTAAGAGGAATGCAAAAGGTGAGGTTGAGCAGATCAGTAGCTCTCAGTGTTGCCCGCACAAGAAGGCACTTGTTGTGTGCACACGCACCCCCACCTCGGGATAGAATTCACCTGTCTGGTTCCACGTGCCTGAGCAATGGCATTTTTAAAAGCCACCTGGGGATTCTGAGGTCAGCCAGGGTTGAGAACCACTAAACCAGGGGTTCCTACATGTGCTTGACCCTAAGAATGGCTCAGGCCCCTGGGCCAAAACGCAGATCCCTCAGTACCCCCAGGGCAGGCCAGATCAAGGCCTCTGGGGCCGGGCTGGGCCCCTGTACTGTCAGCATGTTGCCGAGGTCTTATGATCAGGTAGTTTGGAAACACTGGAGTCCCTGCAAGTTACCGCTTTCGAGCCAGAATGAACTCTCTGTGCGCCTCTTCACTAGCTGTGTCCCATTAGGTAAAGAAGTGGGTTTTGGAAAAAATAGAGTAAATCGTTCTTCTGCCCATCCCTGTGTTTTTAGGGGGAGCTCAATGGGCAGAAAGGCCTTGTCCCCTCAAACTTCCTAGAAGAAGTGCCTGATGATGTGGAAGTCTATCTCTCTGACGCACCGTCCCACTACTCACAAGACACGCCAGTGCGCTCCAAGGCAAAACGGGTAAGCAGATGCAGTCAGCTCTTTGAACTCCAGTCCCACTATGCGGTACATGCTCTAATGCAGCCTTTGCATTGATATTTTTGTATCTCGGGCTAAAAAGCATATGCCCTGAATTTTTTCTCTGCCCTTCCATGGGGGTTGTGCCTAAAATCAAATTCTAATCTTAAAAGTTTATGTCACAAAAAACAACCCTTTCAATTCTAATCAACCTGCCTTTACTCATGTAGGAACTTGCCCTGCTAACACTACAGAGCACATTCCAGTGGGGTTAAAAGTGTAGGGCTGGTCAGTCCCAGATCCAGTGGGCAATGACAATTACATGCCTGCTAGGTTTTTAGTCCTCTGACAAGATCAAAGAGCTTGCCAAGCACAATGAACTATTAGATTACGTTCATGGTTAGTGTCCATCTTTATTTTATTTCATCACTGCAAGTTTTTATATATTATATTTTTATATATATATATTTTTATTTCTTTGCTCATCTGCTTGGAAACAGAAGAAGAGTGTTCATTTCACACCTTAATCAGGCAATGTAGCCTTCACGTAAGTGAGCAACTGAAGATACCTATAAAGATACCAACTTAGGCTGTCTTAAAGGGACAATGCAGTAGACTTAAGGCTTCACTGTGGGCTAAGAAAAGAAATATGTCTCAAAAACCATCGGACCTAAAGTATTAGGATATTACTTGGTCTCAGTTGTAAAGCAACTGAATTGGTAGTGAAATAAATCATCTTTAATAATCATTTCCTACTATTTACATTAAGAATATTTGAAGGCCAACATTGGGAACATATTTCTTAACCAGCTAATTGTTTGTTTACAGAGAGTTCCAATGTCTACTCATAATTAAAGCTGCATATTGCATTGTTAGCCACTCTTGGAAAAAGCACAACCTAAAAAATGTTTACTATAGGGAATTTTACTTTAAAAAACCATAACTCAAGAGCAAGCAGAACGTAAGTGATGCAGAGTTGGCTCTGACCACTGCACATGCCGGCTCGACTACCGGATGCATCATTCTTATGTAACCATACCTCTATCTGATGAGAGTGCTTGTGCTCTCTTCAAAGCACAAGTAAGTGTTCTGAACACACAGACGATTGGTTGGTGACTCACTGGTTGGTATACCAATGCAATACTAAGTTTATGAGACATGCAGCTCAAATGTTTGCATAGATGGAATACTCGGTATCTTCAGGTGTGCTTTGGGATGCTTTCCTAGTTGTTTTCCATTAGAATTAGACCTTGATTTTAAATCTAAGCAAGCTTGAAGCCCCTTGGCTTATATCATTTGCCTGCTGAATGATGAACACTCACACTAGGAAGACGTTTGCTCAGTGAGGTAAGGGAGGAGAGGGACAGTGATGTTCTGCATCTCGGGCATGCACCCAATCATGAACGTGAACGAGGCTTGTCACCACGCGCCGTGTTAGAACACGCTCTGCGCCTGGGAGGCACTGCTGATTAAGCACTATATTGACAAAAATTCATCTTCAATTACTTAAAAATAACGAAAGCATACAAGAAGGGCCTTTAAGCTTTCTTTGATTATAATTAAGGTTCATTTTAGTTTTTTTTTCCTTTCTTTCAACTGGTGTGCCATCTCCAATGTTTCTACAGTATACTAACCACCGCAGAGACGCACGGGGCAGTATCAGATTTATATACCCACGTAGTTTTCAAACACAGCAAAAGTTCCCTTTAAGAACCTTTGCTTTTAAGATTATCGATGGGTACTCAGCCAATTTTACTACCACCCTAATTTAAAGGAATTGTTTTTCCCTGCTTTTGGTCTTAATTTACAAAGTAAATTATCACCTAGCTTTGTTTTTGTGGAAAACCATGGCCGCCCCTCCCCTGGAAACCAGACGCGTGGCTAGGCCCTCCCTTAGGTATGCTGTGGGGGAGGGTGTGTGCTCCCGGGAGGGTACTTTAAGCATTCAAAGGAGAAATGGACCCCTTTACTTCTCCTGGTGGGAACCGGGGCAGTAGGGTGTTACTCAGTGGATTGGTGTTGTTGCACTCACGCACTCAATAAACTGTAACAATGTACCTACTAGGTTCCTCCTGAGGGTTCAGGTACAGCAAGGAGCGCACCATCCCCCACAGCCCATCTCCATTCGGGGTCACCTACGTCATCTATGGGTACTGGTAGTCCTGGGAGAGGCAGGGAAATGTCCTCGAAAAAGAAAAAGGGGCTGCTTTCCAAAGGCAAGAAACTGCTGAAAAAGCTGGGTGCCGTGAAATGATTCATGTGCTTCTGGACAACTTCCAAATCTATGTAATTTTCTTTAATTCCAAACTAGGGCTTTCATGACTCAAGTACTTCCTAAAAAAACAATCTTCTCCCCTGACACCAGTAGAGAAGTGCTCTTTGCACTACCATCCACTTTACACCACCTGCAAGGACAAAGGGCCGCTGTGCTCTCCCAGCCTCCGTGCCACTCCGCTCTATGCCCGAGGTCAGCCGGGCGGCGGGGGTCACCAACAAACAGGGGCCACTAGCTCTCTGTAGCTCACTCCCTGTGAGTCCAGTCTTTGCGCATTTGTCATCTGCCCTTAAAGGAATGGTTTCCACCCTGCTCCCTTTTCAGAATGCTTGCCTCATAATGCATAACTCTCACTTTAGCTCTGGTCTTGAAATTCCTAGTTTAACTGCCTTGATGTTTCTGCCTTATAAACGCACAATGATTTGTACTGTCCAATAAAACCTATAGTGTACACTTTGTGTTGTGCATTCAGTGCTCTCTATCCTCACAGACACGGTGGTTTGCAGTCGCCTTGTACAGGCTGTGCACTCTACAGTCTGGCCTTTGGTCTCTCAGAGCAAGCCAGGCAACACAGAGAAAGTGTTTACTTAGTCAAATCATTCAAAAAGAGAGAGAGAGTGACTTTGGTAAAGTACCATTACTCCAACCTACCAAAAAGCTGGTAACACTTACTGCTTTCAGTGTTACATTTTATGGCATATGGATTTAAGTTACTTTCAGTATTTGTCAAAATGCCACACATTCAACAATGAGCAGCACACCTATACAGCAGTCCACGTAATGCACAAGCCACACTTCAAACATCCTCGATTTAAGTCTGTTCAAAATAATTCCACACCAATCTTCATCATTGGCACTTGAACAAACTACAACGTTGCTGGCACATGTATTTGATGGTTACTATTTTCTAATTCTTGTCCACTTGTAAATTGTTTTTACTCTTTATACATACTTTCAGACTGCCTTTCTTTTGTAATTTATGGAAGGTTTCTAAATGAATGACAGCTTTCCCCATTGTGTCTTCAAAAACTATATTGTAAATTGTAATATAATAGTATGTGTTAGATATATTAAAAGGAAATTACTCCATGTGTGGTTCAGTACTGTGTGGGTGTGTGCATGTGTACAGTTAGTGTAAAATATTTTATAGAAATAAAATTTGTTATTTTATACAATATTTATTCTATCTTTGTTTTAAACTTTTCATCATAGCGTAACTGAATTCCTTTCTCCTGCATGTACTAGAAACACTTTATAACTGCCTTTTGTGGTACTACTTTTTCTACAATACTTCTGACCTATGTTTTGGGAGTCATTTACCACAAAATGTTGTTACAGCTGCATTGCTGGTGACAATCCACTCAGTGGCAAAAAGGTAGTTAGTTGTCCATAAGGAACAGACATGTACAACAAAGAGTGAATTCAAATCATACTTGTAATATTCCTCTTCAGCAACTTTGGAATTCAAATGATATGAATAAAGAGCTGTACCAACTAAAGACCATAAAACACAATTTAACTTCCCAGACATAAAATAATTTTCCTGAAATCCTTAATTACTTTAAAATTCTCCAAATAAGAGGGTTTATTCCAACTAAGAGGTAAAACCAACGCTATGGCAAGATCAAAATATAATCCAAATGCATAAATTTATGAATATGTACACAAGTCTGTAATTGCTATCCATCCTAGTGTCCTTCCTGTTACATGCTCACCTCCCCCATCTACAGAACGAAAAGTCGCTGACAAAGAGGACCACTGCCTGTGTGTGTGGGATCTCAAACAGCAGACTCACAGGGGCAAAGCAGGACGGTGGTTAACAGAGGCCAGGGGAGGTGAAATGGGCAGGTGTAGGTCAAGGAGTACAAAGTTTCAGTTATAAACATGAATAAATTGAACTCCTCTAATGTAAAAAAAACAAAACAAACCTTAAGTGCTAGATTAAATGGAAAGTCTTAAAATAATTTTCAGTTTAAGAAATACTGATGTAAGACTTAAAGTCTATACAACAGTGTGAATGTCCTTACTGCCAATACATACTTAAAATGGTTGAAATGGCAAATTTTGTTATACTTCTCCACAATAAAAACTGTTTTTTTAAAAATCAAAGGTAGCCAGGATTGTTTCTCTAAATCTTTTGAAAATATTTAGAGATTTCCCCAAATATGAAAATGTACACAGACCCAAAGCAATAATGAGCTACTTTTGGTGAATATGACCAAACAGTTAAGGAATGCGTAATACCAACTGAATACAAAATCTTCCAGAGAAGACAAAAATGCTCAAACTCATGAGGCCAGCATTATCCTAATACCAAAACTAGACAAAGATACTTCATAAGGAAACTACAGAATAGCATCATAAATGTAAATGAAAAAAATATTATTAGACTGAACAGAGCAATATATAAAAAGGGTGATATACTTTGCCCAACTGTGGTTCATTCCAGGAAAGAAAGTTGGTTTAATATTCTGGGGAAAAAAATCAATGTATTTTAATGTTATCAGAACAAAAGAGAAAGGCTACGTAATTCCACAGATGCAGAAAAAGCATTGGACAAAATTCAACGCCTGTTCAGGAAACTAGAAAGAGAAATTTATTTCACCTTGATAAAATTAACAGCCATCGCCATACTTAATGATGAAAGATTGCTTTCCTGTATCCCAAAAATGCAAGGATGTCTGATTACTTGTAGTCAACATTGTATGGGGCTTCTAGCCCTTGCAATAAGGAATAAAAGTGTACGATTTTAAAAGAAAAAGTAATATAGTCTTTATTTGCAGATGACAGGGTGCAAGGCCAACACATAAAAATCAACTGTATTTCTATAAACCAGCAGGGGCCAATTAGAAACAAATTAAAATGCAGATATTTAGTAATAAAATAAAAATGTAATAAATAGTTGTATAAGCATTAAAACATGAAATACTTAGGGATAAATTTAACAAAACATGCACAAGACTGGTGTCTCTGAATTGCTGAGAGGCTATAAAAGAGTTCCTAAATAGAGATATATAGTATATTCACGGTTAGGAAGATATAATATTGTTAAATTGCCAACTTTCCCCAAGTAGATCAGTGTAATGCCAGTCAAAATCCCAACAGACTTTTTCTAGAAATTGATTCTAAAAATTATACAGAAATGCAAATGATCTAGAATAGTCAAAACAATTTTGAAAAAGATGGACTAGGTTGACTCATATTGCCTGATTCTGAGACTTCTAAAGCTATAGTAACCAACACAGTGTTATTTTTGTGCAAAATACAGACATTTAAATTAAAGGAATAAACTTAAGAGAGTCCAGAAATTATAGACAGACACATATATGGTTCAGTTCATTTTCAACAAAGACGCCAAGGAATTCAATGAGGGTGGAGTGGGGGGAATATGGTCTTTCTAGAAATGCTACAGTGAGAATGGGATATTTACAGGTAGAAAAGTTGACCCTTATCTCGCACAATACACAAAATTTAATTTAAAAAACCACATCAGTCCTAAATGGAAAAGTTAAAACTATAAAACTTCTGGCAGAAAATCGGAGAAATCTGGCTAGAAAGATGTTTTATATAAGACACAAAACAAACTGTAAGAGGAAAAACCTCTGATAAGTGCACTCTATCAAATTTGAAAACATCTTCTTTGAATATACTTAAGAAAGCAAAACAGCAAGCCAGAAACTGGGAGGAAACATTCATATATTTGATAAAAGATTTGTATCCAGAATATATGAAGAAATTTTCCAACTTGAAAAGACCATTTTTTTTATTGTGACAAAGATTTGAAGAAACATTTCATAAAAGATGTAAGAATGGCAAATATGCACACAAAAAGATGCTCAGTATCAGCAGTCAGCAGGGAAATGCAAGTAATTAGCCAAGTATAACAACATTATACACCAACTAGAGTGACAAAAAAGGCCATCATCAAATACTAGTGAAGATATGGAGCAACTGGAACCCTCATGCATTGTACTCCTACAGTTACTTTGGAAAGAGCCTGTCAGCTTATTATAAAATCAGACAGTATATAGAGCCAGCAGTTCCATGTCTGTGTATTTATCCAAGGGAAATAAAAAGGTTATGTCCACACAAAGGCTTAAACAGAACTTTTATAGTAGTTTATTATAATAGACCCAAGTAGGAAACATACAAAATATCCATTTATTGATGGTGAATAAACAATGTGAAATACAAACATACAATGGAACACTGCTTAGCAAACAAACCTCTTATACAGACAATGACATGGATTAATTTTTGAGCTACTATACTGAAAAAGCCAGACACAAGAGAGTACACACCATGATTCCATTTACATGAAATTCTTGTGCAGGTGAAAGGCAGATACTAAGCTGCTTGGGGTCAAGGTGGGAAGGGCTCTTTGCCAAGGGGCAAGGAAGAGCCTTCTGTGGGAGGAAATAGGCATTTTTCTAAGTCTTGTGGTGGTAGAGATAAATTTTTGCCAAAACTCATAAAATTGGATTCACTGATATGTAAACTATGCCTCAATAAAGTTGACTAAAAACAGTAAATAACAATGGGATACAAGTTGAGTGAGAGCAGATGGACCTAGAAGTGTTTCAAGATCTTGTGCCATCCAAAGGCAGGCATATTCTACCTCAACTGCTAAATGCTCCTGGGGCTGGATGAGGAAGAGTAAAAAAAAAGCATGCATAGTCCTATGGCAGGTGCTTCATGGCCTAGCAACCTGTTGTGGTTTGGCTGCCTCCTGGGCAGGACTGGAGCAAAGTGCCTGTTACGGTGAAGGCAGCCCTGGTCTGCCACAGCTGAGACCAGAAAGCCTCCCTCCAAATGGCTCCTTTCTGCCACCTCTCATACCTGGCACTGGACTTAGGCTCAGATGAATGAGAAGCTTGGACAGGAATGGTTGGGCTGGGTCTGCTTGTCCAGGTACCCATGAAGAAAACCACCCAATGCTGGCAGAACATCTGGTGCTGAGGTGACAGAGGCTGGGACTTAGGATGCAGATTTCTGGGTGGCCTGACTGGTGGTTGATTGCTCACATAGGTGGCTTCACCTCTCTGCCTGGTAACTTTTCCCAGCTGTTGCCAGCCCTGGGAAGGTTTCTGCATGCGTATATCCAGGTCTCAGGCAAAGTTCTCACTTAAGTGAACAAGGTAGAGCCCTGCCATTAAGAGTTCTTACAGCCCTCTGGTGACCATAATGTACAGCCGGAGCTGGGAACCACTGTGGAGTACAGAGGGGTCCCTCAACTTTAATGTGCTAAGAAACATGAGGGCTGTTTTAGTTATTCACTTGGGAAATATTTGAGAAACTGCTATATGCCAGCCACCGATAGAGACGCATGGTGGACAACTGAGCAAGACAAGCACTGGCCTCTGGAGCTCACATTCAGGAGCGAGGACTAGAAAGTACAACAAGCCAGAGTATTACTGATAACCTAGAGCTGGAAGAACAGAAAGGGTACATTTCTATGCTTGTGGAATGTTGAAAATGTAGAAGGTGGCCCCTCTGCTAGTGATGCTTTGGCAACCCGAAGGAGCATGCCAGGCGGAGGAAGCACCTCAGACAGGAGGGCACAGAGCGCTCTGTGAAGAGGTAGCAGGTCACAGGCCTGACCCTTGCAATGACCTTATTTTCCTGAGATGGGAACCCACTGCAGGATGTTGAGATGTGCAACTTAATCACTCTGGCCTGCTTGTTGAATACAGCTCTAAGTGAGTGCGAAGGCAAATACAGAAGAGCAGTGGAGGCAGTCGCTGCAGCAGGCCAGAGACAGTGGTGGCTTGGAACAGGGCAGACGTGTCTGGGTACTCATATTTTGAAGGTGAAGCTTGTAAGATGTACTGAGGAATCCATAGTGTGACATGAAAAAGAGACGACTCAAGGAAGATAGTGAAGTTCTGGCCTGAACATCCAGAAAAACTGAGTTTCAATTAACTGGAGATCTTTGGAAAGTCAGTTTAGCTTTGGGCATATTAGGCTTGAGAAATCTACTTATTCAACCACGGGTTCTCAAAGTGTGGCCTGGGTGCCCTAAAGTTCTCTGAGACTTTCAGGATTCCGTGGTCACCTGCCTTTCTAATTCTCATGAGTGTGCAGTATTTCCTAGAGGCTACATGATGTGATGATGGCATCATTTTAAGTTAAAGGAATGCAGGCTTCTGTATTTTGTTTTTAAAATATTAATTTATAATGACAATTATCAACAAATATAACCCACATGAAAAAAAATCCCCTTAGGTCCTCTGCAATTTAAGAGGATGAGGAAATTCCAAGACCAAAAAGTTTGAGAACCATTGTATTAGACACTTGCTTGATTGTTCCTTTAGGAGACAATTATTTCCTGAGTGTGAAGTCCAGGGAGGAGATAAGGCTGGAGATGTAAATCTGGGAAGCATTTTCATGGAAATGAGCCGAGACTGAAGGGAATTACTAAGGGAGGAAGATTAGAAAGAAGAGGGACACTAGCCTGGAGGCACTCCACCACTAGAGGTCAGGGAGACTGAGAGGAACAGTGGGTGGGAGCACCACAGAAGCCAGGCAGAGAGAGAGTGGCAAGGAGAGGAGGCATCAGTGTCGGCACGCTAGCAGGCTTATGGATGAGGGCTGGGAGTGGACCAGCCTGCAACATGGAGAATGTGGAGCACTTGGTAAGAATGCTGGGTTGAGAGAGAAGGGGAAGAAGGCAATGTAGTTTTGCTTTAAGTGGGGGAGAGAAACCAGCTACAGGGGACAATGGGGGCCCCAAAGGCTTCTTTTTAGGATGCAAAGAACAACCAGATTTGTAGGTGGCTGGGAAAGAACAAGGAACAAGGAGAATTGTGGTTCTGAGCAACGTCCTTGAGTAAACGGGTATCTGTGCACACGTGGGTGGGGTCAGCTTCAGCCAGCAGCAGAGTAACAAAAGATAGAGGAATATGCGTGCAGCCACAGCCTGCCAGCTTCTATGGGGGCTTGTGTGAAAACCAGCCAGGCAGAGGGCAAGGGTGGCAGCTGGAGTGAGGGTGCAGGCAGTGCTGGAGGGTTACAGTGCAGGAGGAGGCATGAGACTAGGCAGGTGGCATGCTGAATGGCACAAAGGTGCTGCGGGTCCCGAGTGAGGTAGGGCAGTGAGGCGTGGTTGTGTTCTGTCTCCTGCCATGTTCATCTGCATGGGAGCAGACAAGCAGGCAAAATGTTGGATTTCATTGGTGTTTTAACCAGGAGCTAGAACACAGTACACTGGGCAATGTGAGCAAGCCAGGAGCTGTGTCTCCTGCAGGGAGTCTGACCCCAGGGGAGTGAAATGCCCGCAAAAGAGAGAAGTGGGTGATAAGTCTGATGGAAGGAGGCCCAAACTGAGTGTGTCTGGGGTATCTGCAGGGGTCTGAAAGCATCAGTGAGGAGCAAGAAGACACCTGCCCACCCGCAGACCCAGGTGGTCTAGAGGTGAGGGGAATGAGTGCCATCAAAGGCAGAAGTGTCCCAGAAGAAAGCAAGAAGGGAAATGAGCTTGTCAATCAAGGGCCTACTGATATGCGACCTTGATGGATAGGCAAAAGGCTTTTAAGAGTAGATGATGTCATAGAGGTGTCCTAAGGGGCTCCTTGGAGGGTCCCCTGCTGACCTGCTGATGGCAGCACAGGCACCCATTAACCAAGGTGACTTGTGGGGGGTGCATCTCACTACAAAGCACATGAACTCTCCACTCACTCCATCCATTGAAAAATTTATATTTTCTCTATTTTTTCCCTGGACTTTTTAGCAACTTAATTGGTTTGGAATAATGAATACAAACAGAACTAAGCCTAGCCCCCTGAAATATTGAATCTGAATGACAATACCAATCACAAAAACTTGAATCAAATCTTAAAAATCTTATCACATCCGGTTGAAACTGTTGAAACAGACTTTCTGACACAGAGGACAGAAAGAGACACTTCTTGTGAACAGAAATGCCAAGTGACACAAAATTTCTATGAGCTCTAAGGAGTATCATGTAAAGCTATTAAATAGAAAGCTTCAATGAGGGCCACATTTTTGGATTTTTTTAAGGGGGAAAAAGCACTGTCCTCAGCAAAAAATAGGCAGATTTCTTGTTGCAATGAACTTTTGAGAAGTCACCGTCCAAACCTCTGGTCAGCTCAAGAACTACACTCTGGCACAGAAGGGGCAGCCTCACCACCGTCTTTAATGCTAGAGCCTTAAGTGTGCATGTTTTTTCATTTTAAGGAAGAGACCTGGATGTCAGCCCATTTTTGCTTTGTTGTTTGAGGTACTCACTGTACCTGTCTCTCTAGGGACAGGTGGAATGGCCTGCCCCTTCTGTACGCAGACCACCTTTAGCAAGCAGTAAGTGTGCGGCCCCGGAGCCAGGCTTAGCTGAGGAGGGTCATGTGTGTCTTCTGGTTCAGGGTGTGTGGACAGCCTGGGTTCTGCTACAACTGATGTGGAGGCGGCACTTCTTTCATGGAGTGGGGCTGAGACACAGGCCTAGATTTAGTGCTGTCACCCCTGAAGGAAGTCTATTTTATTAAAACCAGAACACAGGGAAGCAGAACCCACAGAGAAGGTTCCCAGTATCACTCTCATCTGGGCTCTGCACCTTCTCAACCAGCATTTACCAGAATTCCCAGACAAACCATCTGGAATGCGTTTAACAGCTCAACCAGCCACTCCCCTAGAAGTTCTAGTTCTTAGGTCTGGTGTGGAGCCTGGCAGTCTGTGGCATCTATTCAAAGCACACAAGGTCATGTTTGACACATCCAATTTGGGAACCACTGCCAAGTATGAATGAGAAAGCCAATCAATGCCTCTTTAGGCTTAACTAATTTGAGCAGTTTTTTGTCCCTTGTAACAAAGTCTTTATGATATAGTGAGTCTCTTGACTACTGAAACTTTTCCAGAATTACCACATGTACCAATTTTTCATGCTTTGAAAGACATTAAAGCCTTTCAGTGTTTAGTTTAAAGCCTAAGAATGAGACTTTAATGACTTAAGTTACTGACTTACCATAAAATTCCATGAAGACCCATAACTTTGAGCAAAAAAAAATGGTTACTTACAGCTAAAAAAAAAAAATCCATAAATAAAAAATTAATGCTCCAAGTCAATCTTTTACAGCTATATGATTGGACTTCCTTATGCCCCTTAATACTGTCACAACCTTTATCCACTTTTATCATCATTTTTTTGTCTTTGGCACTCTTCTGAAACTTCAGTCCTGTTTCTTATCTTCCTATGGTCAGATCTCAAGCAGGTTAAGGCAAGCACTGGGCTAACAGCCAAAAACAATGTTAGCAATTTCTAGCTTGCATAACTAAGAAGGTTTTCACTCATAGTACTAATAAGGCTAATTCCAAACAGCATTTATTTGATAAGACCACATACAATAATGGTAAGACAGTAACTTGACTCAGCCCCTTCAGTGTATAGTCCAGTGGCTCATGTACCATGCTTAATGCTTACATTCATTACATTTATATGCAAGCAATGTTGAGCTCATCACACACTTACTTGTTAACTTCAAGCCTGCTCTTTGCAAAATTCCCTGAAAATTCCTACAAATGTGTAGATGTGAATAATTACAATTATCAAAATCACATAACACATTCTTCTTAGTTTTATTTCCTTACAAGCTATGGATATCCATTCTAATATTACTAATATTGCAGATATCAGCAATTCCTAACAGAATTTGACTCTGACAGTGAAGTTTGTAAGTGCCACTAATTTAGCTTTTATAAATGGAATCATATCCTTTGACTATACTCTTCAGTAGTTTAAAAAACACATTAAATGGAAAGAAAATGCATATACTTTAAGTAAAAAAAACTACACTGTTTTTCAAGTATGGTGACAATCACTTCAGTTTTATTTTATAACGAATTGGAGAATGTCCCAGTTGCAAAACAAAATAAATAGTGTAATATAAATATAGACTACTGGTCTGTTTTGTTAAAGAGTCTTAAAATGTTTCTTTAGACCAAAATTTAAAATTTTTCAACTTTTTTTTTTTGAAATTTTAAAGAACTTTATTTTTGGAATAACATTAAAGTTGAAAAGATAATAAAGAGTTCCCATATACCCATATCATTTTTCACAACTATCTTTTTTTAGCTGTCACAGACCACCTAGCCCCAAAATGAAATAAAAAATAAGCATATTTCTCCAGAATCTCACACCTGTCCCACACCTTGTAGAGGTCATTTTTTAATGGGAGCTTTTACTCTTAAAATATAGGATGTCAGATACTGAAATAAAATGATTTTAGTGAGCTTCCCATTTTATGCCTTTCTCTCCTTTAAATTCAAAATAAGCACTTCAAAAATAAGGTTAGTATAGGTTTACAAGTAGGACTTGCTCACTCCTCAAAGTACACGCAATATACATTTTTCAAATAGTTTAAAAACAGAGTCTGTTTATAATACAAAGTACCTTATCCACATTTTTCCAAAACAAAAATCCTTGTGACACATTTGAGAAGCAAACCAGATAAAATGTAAAGTCTTAATTTTACCTATAAGTCTGTTAGCAGCAAATACTAGAAATAAAGACTCCAGAGCTCCTAATACCCTAATAAGTTTTGTCTGGAATGGCAGCAGTTAAAAAACAGAAGCTTAAAAAAATCCCAACGTTAGAACATCAAGAAGAAAAACCCGGCTACATCTTGTCTTCTTCTGTCAGAGGTAGTAAAGGCGATTGGACAGGGACAGGTTTGGCTCCCTGTGAATGCTCTGGCCGACGAGGAAAGCGAGTTTGTGGGCATACTGGCAAGGAGCAGGTACACGAATAACACCCTTCACAGGAAAAGAACAAGGTTCTATTACTCTACATCTAATTTCTGTAAACTGTGAATCTCACTATTAACTAAAAAGCCTTTGAAAACATAGCAATTCCTTTCTGAAAAGTGAATCTCAATGATGTAAACAGACATGAGTAGATAAAAGTACTTACTGGCCAGTTATAATAGATATGACAGAGCTTGTAAGTTAACCTCTGTATGTGGTCTGGTTTCAAGCCACTGCTGTCATAGATGACATTATAGTGTGTGGGAGAGACACTACCACTTCTCACTGCCTGGCTCACGATAAAAAAATCATACCTGGAATGACAAAAGGAAAAACCACATGGTTGTAAGGCATTGTCTTTTTGAAAGCTAAAATCAAGATGACTACTTTCTTAAAATGATCCCATATACTAATGTAACCTAATCTTCAAGACATAATGGGCTTTCTTGAAGTCCAGAAATTTAAGAACCATATTCTGGAATATACTGCATGTATGAAAGACATGATATGGCTGCTGATCACAGCCGTACACACGAACAGTTCTCCATTCCCACATCCACTCTGAGGGAGACACTGGGCAGTAACAGGTTCTGGAAGGCAGCAGCAGTGAGGAAAACTGGGTATGGCACCGTCATTCCCAATCTGCTCTCCCCCTCAAGTTGTTCCCATTGTTATTTAACAAAGATACACTTAACAATCATTAAGGATTTAAAGCAAATCTTTGACAGGAATAGGCAACATGAAAGAATATAAGCAAGCAGACTGAGTATAGAAACCAAATGGTGAACCAAAGACCAAGTATTGCAAATGTAAAGGAATATACCACAAGTTATTTCATTTTCTTGGTACCAGAGAAACATCACTCCTGAGATAATGTAACCCAACCTAATGAAGATACAAGGCAATTAACTGCAGATTATTATGTCCATTGAAAACTGAGAAAATCATAAAATCAGAATTATCTACAATAGATGCCAGTGTTTTAGAAAATGAACATTTCAGAAATGTTAAAGACTTGGCCAGAACAACAGTCACACCAGAGATAGAATCAAAACCTTAGTTCCCAGTTTAAGCAAATTATCATTCCAAGTGTTAGCAACTAAAAATGATTCTTATGTTCATTAAAAGTGGGCCTCTCCAAGTATTTGCATAACATCAGCAGCTGTTTTTAAATAGCATTTACTAGAAAGTAATGAAATGTTTTCATACTTCACAATTCAATTTGTTTAAATCAGTTATGTCTTGGGTCAATGTCACACCTGAGCTCAGATGTAACAATTGGTGGTCACAATAGCAGTAATGTCACCAAGTATTGTGGGGGTCCTCTGAACGGCTAGAGAACCCTGAAGGACATGAGCTCACTGTTACTATCTTAGCTGTTTGCTTTCTTTGGCTGGTTTTCCCCAATAGTTTAGAATCTTTCTGAAGCACTGCCGTACTAACATCTGCCTGAGAAAAACACAGAAATCCATAATGCATATTGAAATAAAATTTCTATCCTCCATCCCATAACAGAGGTGACTAAACAGAATGAATATCTGTTCCATATTACTTAACTACATAAAGTTAGTGCAGTAATGCCTTGTTTACCCAAGGTCACATAGGAAAAGCTTTCCAAATATAAACTTTCCATCTGGGTTACTCTTATCCTGATTAAAGGTGCCTTTTTAAAAGGCTCCAAAACATTTGCAAGTACGAGCAGAAACCATCCCAGTATGCACTCTCATCAGAGTCTCATCTGGACTGACCACTGCCTTGCCTTTATGAACAAGACTTCTGCCTTGGATCCCTGTCTCCACAACAGGGTTCCTGAAGAAACTTAAGCTTCATTACTTAACGGCTGAACCCTGTGTGCTCAGACCCTCAGCGCCCTTTGATGTCCCTACTGGTGTCCTTTCTTAAGGCATTGGATAGGTGGCTCCAGGTTATACAACAAGCGTCCTTTACTCAGAAGCCACTCTTCTCATCTGCAAATGTTTTGTAAATGAAACTTTTTGACCTTTGGATAACTAAATGCTTTACAGATCTGAACATTCTGATGAGAAAACAAATCTGTTTACATATGTAAGAAACAAAAATGCAAAAGCAGCCTGCAGTGACAGTCTTTGACCTGTGTAAATTAACTCCATAGATAACCCTCTTCCCCCAAAGCAAAACTGCACCCAAAACCTCTGTTCACTTCAGACTAAATCATGGGCTTTAGTAATATTATAAATTCAAACTAATTGAAAACTTTAGTATTTATAATACAGTACAAGAACTAAAAAGTAAATGTGTTAAAGCTGACAGAGTACAGAGGCCTCAAAAACCTGAAACTGCCTTCATCTGATCATGCAGAACTTACCACTCTGGTCTGGTGACTTCCACATCAATAACTGTCCCAGGAAGTGGATTCTGAATTCTCCCTCCAGACTGAGTGAAGAACCTGGCGTTCACGCGTTTCTTCACCACAATTACCGTCAGCCTTGGGCTTTGAAGGTGGTGATGAATAACTACATTTAGTCAGGTGATTTCAGGGCAATGCACCATTCAGACATTTGCACACCCCACTTAACAAGAAACACATATCTGTCCTGGGGCACATTACCTACCCATGTTGTGAAGGAAGCTTCCACAACTTTAAGGACCTTGAGTAAGGACTGGGAATAAACTGTGGGGAGAAGACAAGCTAGCTAGCATATATATAATGCCCTGTGACATGGGTTTAATTGGCAGGCTAAGCACAGTCTGTGTCTGTGACACTAAAATGTTAAATTTAAGCCTATCTCCAAGTTCACAACTTTAAGCACTCTCTAATGGGCATTTCCTACTATGTGGAAAGAAAGATAGTGATTCTAAAATCTTTGACAGGTAAGCTAATTTGAGTAGTCTTGAAGTCTAACTGCTCTTCAACATTACTGGTTCACAACGTGTCGGGGTCTCTGTCTTCTGAGGCTCAACCACACCCTGACACTACAACAACCTTCCCTTTTAACCTTTCCCTCCCAATTCAGGTCTACAGTCAGCTTTCCTATGTCAGGGCTATGCTCCTGTTCCCTGGTAAACCTCAGCTGTGGATGGGATCTGATAACCCTCCCACAGGCCCTTGACTCTCCTGAGAGCAGCCCTTAGCTGGCACTGTGCAGTCGGCTTGAGTACCTGCTACACCCTTTACCCCCAGCCCATAAATGTGCATTTCAAATACAGTCACACCTGCTTATGCATATCCATGTGGGAATAAATAAATCAGAACATGTAAAGCACTTAGAACAGTGCTGGCCTGTCACAAGCGCCTGGTAACTATCATGATTCTCAGTGCCTCAATTTTTCCTGTGCTTTTTCCAGCTGAACACTACTTCCTTAAGAGCATAAATACACTTTATTCCAAACGTTGGGAAGCAGAGGGCTTTACACGTACTATGGACCTGGTCATGTTCGACCTGGGAAAGCTTACAGTACACTGTCTGGACAAACAGTCAGAAAGACCCCAAATAGGGAACTTCAGGTCAATGTCAATGATAAACCTAACTGCTCCTTCTTGGCAGCAGTAAGCAAACAGGGACATGAGGGCAATTTCACTTAACTAAACAGAAGAAATCTTTAAAAACATCAATATATCCACACATGTGTATCTACTGCTGTCCAGCTACTGCCCAGCAACAATAGCTCTGGATAGAACAAAGCCACACATTCAGGGACCCCAAGAAAAAGTGCCTGTTAGTCCTGTGACATCACAAGAAACAAGTTAGCAAGTGTGGTGACAGAGACAAGTCACAAGTGTGCTGACATGACTTTGGGTTTGCTCTTCAACCAAACCTGCTAAGTCAGCTAATTCAGGATGCATCTTTATGAAAAATTCACATCAACATTTCAATTAAAAACAAATACTGTGGTTCTAAGGATAACTACAAATAAATTTAAGTCCAAACTTGGCATTTCTTCAAAGTGAGGAATTATCTTGGATATTATTTTACTTTACATACAACTTTAAGCTTTTTCTAGACAAAATTATCTACCCTTTATTGAGTGCCTATTGGGTACTGTGTGAAACATTAAATATTCTCATTTTTTCCTTTCAGCAGCCTTGGTTAGTTGCTTCCCCTGGTTCACAGATGAAGGCAAAGCTGGATTTAACCCAGCGCTGGTTTTGAGACATATTTTTCTTGATCCCTAATCTCTGCACCGCCAAATAACAGGACAATTCACAAGGTAAAATCTACTTCTTGAATATCTAAGGGTTAGTCCAAACTCTCCTTCCCTCCAACAGTGAATTCCTATTAGGCAAACAGGGGCTAGGCAGGCAAGCCCCACCAGCCCTTTACACTGAGAAGGACCCTATTCACCGACACTCACTCACTCACTAGCATTCCAACAAATCTCCTCAAGAGCTATTTCTGCCAATCTTTCTGGGAGCCAGACTCAAGGGCCCAAGACTCAAAGAACTAGAGATGCAGGCTTCAGCATGGTTGACAATGTTATTCCCTGAACCCCAAATATTCAGCACAAAGAAATAAGAACTTGCAACTGTTACTCTATTCTTCATTTCTTAAAAATTTCTTTTTCTCTAGATATGAGATAAAGGCAACTACGACGTGCTGAGTGCTATGGTAGTACAGAAAAAAAGTATGAAGCAGTCTGTTTTAGACCTTCCTCTACTCCCCAGCACTATACCACACTTCTCCAAGTTGGTTTTGAGACATATTTTTCTTGATCCCTAATCTCTGGTTTCCTAATCTCTTCTCCAAGTGTGGTATGAGCCTCAGAAAACCTAAACCTGAGGAAAGCTAAAATAAGGCTTACAAAACTTCAAAACCCCAAAGAAAATAAAGTTAATGCCATTATTTTAGTGAGAAAATTTAAGCTTTAAGAGTTTTAGGGGGATTAGAAAGAACATTAGCATTAATAATATTCATGTTTCCAAAATAGTTTTAAAATGCATATTAGCATTTTAGTCTGAAGGACACTTACTTTAAAAGTGATAAAAATATTCCTGACTTGCTCTGAGAAGTTCTGGCATGATGACCTCATTTTAATAAATGTATACAAGTAATACTTAGAAGGGGTCTTTTAGAAGTTGACAGGAAGACTTGGAAGTAGCCTCTAATTTAGCTAGAAAACACAAGCCCTTAATGCTCATCCCACAGGCCATATAAAGCACACCGAGTTCAGATATGGTCAATGGCTTTCAAAACCCTCATATCTATAATGATACTAAATGCTGGCTATAAAGGTCTGGCAAAAATAATCAGTGTTTCAATACATACCTGTAAACAAGCCTCCTGGATTTTGCAAGTATCCTTAAAAATCAAACCCACAAATCTCTAATGTATCATGCATTAAGCTCTGAATACAACAGTTCCTGATTACAACTTGCTCACAATCTGACAGAGAAACAGCCAAAGTTAAGCAAGTGTATCTTATTTAAACAGCCATCTTGAGATTGCACCCGGTTTACTGCCAGATGGCAAGGACAGTGATCCTGCAGGAATGTGGAGGGAGGCAAAGCCCACAGGGCAGCGTAGGAGAACAAGGGCGGCACGCAGACATGCCCTGCCCTGCTTTGGTCTGTGTGTGTCATCTGAAGTGAGCATAAAGCCGCTGCCTCCCATGAGGTGGTCACAGCCTGTCATTATTCCCACTGGGTGCCAGTCCAGTCGAGTTCACAAAGAAATTACACAAGTATTCATTGTACAGTGAGGTCAAGAAATAGTACGTTAGGACTATTTGTAGTATTTATCCTGACAATCAATTCTGTGGGTGCCCATGGTTGTGCTGGGATAAGCAGATCCCAGCTTTAGGTGCAGACGAAGAGACGTCTGCTAAAGTGTCTTAACGCGCCCCTCCTTGAAGGAACACACACCACACTGCCACTCTACATTCTCCGTCTCCCCCATCATGAGAAATGGCCACGGACACTTTTCCCCATCCCTGTTCCCTACCTCAAGCCCTACTTCACCAATCAGGGTAGGTTCTCACTTACCTTTTCATCTTGTGACACTAATTATAAAACATAAAAAGGGATAATTTTATAGAGAAAACGCTTTACAATTTGCATGCTTACTTGTAACCTCTACCAATAGATTTTAGGCAATCCAAAAACTGAGGCACTTCATAGTTAACCAGTGTTTTAAGCTGACCATCTCCTACACCATCCCGATACACAATAATCCGACTAGGCATGTATTCATTGCAGCTATTCCAAGCCCTCAGGGCCGCTGAAAGAAAGCCAGAAAGGTTTTAAACAAATTAACACAGAACAAAAATGCTGTGTTTCTACCACATTTTGGGTACTTTTTCAATAACATCACTTTAGGATAATTCCTTGAAGACCCCAGTTCAGAGCCCACCCACCACAGGAGACTAACCTTGCAAGCAGACTTTGAGCCCATCTACTAGCTCTTGTCCTTTGTCTTGAAACACACAGCGAGAGAACCAGCTATTCAGAGAAAAAACATGATGCAGGTGAAAGTTTTTCATATTATTCTACATTTATTTTGCTTTAAGCATTTCATCATTTCATGATCTTTAACTTTCTTTAAATATATCTTACATCTCTACTTTATGAAATCTTAAACAGAAAAAGACAGTAAATCTCTATTAACATCACAAACTAAGTTTTCCCTTATTGTATATCAATACTGTAATTCTATTGCCGAGGAGAAAATGAAGTTTAAACCTTAATACCCAGAGATGACTCCTAAGTTTACACCTCAGTATACAGAGAAGCACAGCACATTCTTACTGTTAGACTCTTCAGAAGCCATTTATTGTAGATTTCAGTTTCCTAAAGGATAAGAGACCTTGAAATATGCCCATTAGTAATGCTAACACATCAATACACCTTCAGTTTTTATTCTTTCCTGTTCTAGGCAACTATCTTGTTAAGAAAAACACTGAAAAAATGATTTCACTAGGTGGAAATACAACCTCTGGGTAAGCTGAAGTGGGCTTTCCAAAATAAAGTCAGTGTAAAAACTTGAAATTACATGTCAGTGGTCAGTAAAAATTATTAAACAAAGAAGTTTTTAGACATGGTCACATGTAAAAAGATGCACCCTCCCACCAAATACAAATAACAAAAATAACCTGAAATACAGCTTTATGACAACAGGTTAAGGGCAAGTGAAGAAAGTTAGAAATGGTGGGTTAGCTAATATTTTTCTCTCCTAACTTTTTTCTGGATCTAATGTAAGAGAAAAAAGCAGGTTAAAAGTAACCAGCTCCTGCACCTTACAGACCCCTTGAGACACCAGCCTGGATGCATGCCCTCAATCTGCCTCTAACAGTTCATCTATAGCTGCCAAACAGCACTCACCGGGTCATCCCTTCATTGATACTCGCAACAAATCCTGCAATTGACCTCCGTCCAGCTGTGGTGTCATGGTAACAATCAATGCCAACTATCATCGCTAGCTTTAGCTTTAATGAAAATATTGTAATTTTAGATACAACAGAATGCCAGCGATATTTAAAAATTACATCAATTTTAAACAATTAAAACTTTTATCCACCATTTAAATCCAACTTACAGGCATATCAACCCTCCAAAGTTCTCCTCCCATTTTGCAATTCATCTGCAGGGCAATCTTTGTAGCAATGGCCATGACAGTCTGTTGTTTGCCTAAGGTTCGGGCCACCACACACTGACTTGGAGTAGGGCAATCTGTACACAAGTACTTTTTAATAGCATCATATTTGTCCTTCCGATTACCGGACAACAGACAGACAACCTAAAAACAAACAAAATGCCCTCACTACAAAGAATAGGAAACTGATAATTAAGTTCATGAAGAAGACAGGTAAACAAGTCCCCTGCCGTGAGAAACAAATGCAAACATGATCATTTATTTCACCACTGTCTCAGCCACACAGCTACCAAGCCAGCTATTAACTTCTTCTTGTTACATTCACCCAAGTGACAGATGCTAATGAAGGAAAGAAATCATGTTACACAAACAACTCAAAACTGAGTATCATTAGAACTTGAGAATTTAGTTAAATGTGCTCTATTACCAGCTTGGAATAATGTAGGAACAGGTAATAGGGCAGAGCAAGTGAGTGGTAACTTTGAGGAGGACAAATAAAAAGATTTTCTAAAATGTCCATTTTCCTTTACTCACAATCCACCTAGGATCATGACTTTTAAAGCTCTGGCTTAAGAATCTGATAAAGATATAAAATTTCCTACAAAGTCCCAGCACAATTTTGGAGACAAAATGGAGCCTGATCTAAATATACCCTTGCTTGAAACGGGAAGATGTTAATCAAAGGGTATAAACTTCTAGTTCTAAGTTGAAGTCCTGGGGATCCAACGTACAGTGGTGAGCACAGTTAACTCTATGGTTTACATACAGAAATGGGCTGAAGACAGGATCCTCAATGTTTTCATCAGAGGAATTGTGTAGGTTGAGGTGGTAACTAACCCGGTGTGATTTCACCATATATGCATGTACATCAAATCCCCACACTGTACACTTCAGACTTATACAGTATTATATGTCAATTATCTAACTAAAGATGGAAAATAAACACAAAACTACCACCTCTGCTCAAATTCTGGGGATGCAAGTTTAAGTTCTGGAGCTGAATCCAGCTCTTTAACTCATTCATTGCTGTATTCTCCAACTTATACTCCCAGATTCTTATCTTTCTTTTCTACAGCTTCCAACAAAATCATGTTCCCACTTAGGGTGTCTCCACTATTCCAGACAATGCAATGGCAACCTGCCTGTGGCATTTAAGTATGAGATAAAGGGCTAAAAAGAACAGATCAGAGGAAGCCAATTCACTTTTAGGTTCACAGCAATACAGACATGTTGTTTATCATTAAATTCATCTTTGCCACCTCATTAATTACACTTCTGTGTGTCTTAAGTACTGATCTTCACTTTTGTGGCTTTCTGTTTTTCCCTAAATTTTCTAAAATAATTAAGGCCTCTGAGTCCAAATAAATTTAAGATGTTTTTCTCTAGCCCTCCGTCACCATTGGCTGTACACAGTAACAAGCTCCCAGGTACACAACTAAAGTCAGTATTAATTTAGCTACCTTATATAGGCAACATTTATATTTTGTGCCCAGTTTAGGAATCTAATTATAACATTTCGAAAATGAACCCATGTTCTCAGATTTACAAATGCCCCTTTTAAAACAAAAGTCCTGTCCTGTCATTCTAGAACAACAGCCTATGTGTCAATTAGCTACTTACTATCTGAGTATCTGATGTAACTTTCTGCTGTAAGACTCTTAAATAGGCTTCCGTTCTATCATCCACTTCAATCCTAGGATGGAAGTACATTATCCAACATTCAGAAAAAAAAAAAGTACTATACATAAAAAATTTCCTTACATTATAACACATGAAACACTTCTGTATAAAATATGAGATATAACACCAAATACAGCAATTTAGGCAAAAGACATTTTCTAACACATATGAGAGCAATAATTTGAGGAATAGTCCTGCTTGTTTGCTCTCCCACCCATTCTTATTACTAACATACATTTCTGGATCCACACTATAGGGAACTACATCCAATCTTTAAGCTAAGGTAACGTAGTTAATGTTCCTAATACTTTTATCACTTTTGAGTTGCCACTCCCTGCAAATGGCTACTAATCAATTCTCAGAGTAGAAATAACTTGATAAACTTACATTATTGCTTTTTTCATTTGTATGCCCATGGCTGGTGTAACTTTAAATAGATTTTGTATCAATGAATTGGCTGCTTCATAATTTCTTCGAGTATAGATCAATAGCCAGTTATCTAATCAATTCTCAGAGTAGAAATAACTTGATAAACTTACATTATTGCTTTTTTCATTTGTATGCCCATGGCTGGTGTAACTTTAAATAGATTTTGTATCAATGAATTGGCTGCTTCATAATTTCTTCGAGTATAGATCAATAGCCAGTTATCTAGTGGCTTAACACCAATTAATGGTGCACTTCTTGTTTCTTTCGACCAATCTGCAAACTGTGGATTGTAATCAAACTAGAAGAAAGTTCAGAGACACTGTAAATTCCATTGTACATCCTCAGAGACAAAGCCAAAAAGTCTTCAATAATTCAAGCATGGAATATTGAGTCTTATAGCACTACTCTTAAGTTTGTGGACTGTAGTGACAGACCAAACGCCCTCAATGGGGAAAAAAGATACAAGAGATACCCAAAGGGCAATGGCAGTCCTGTTTAAGATTCATGTTACCACCTCAGTACGTTTACTAAAATCTCCGGAATCTTTTCTAAAACCTTACTAGAGAGGATTTGTGCTACTTCTCTTATGATAAAGGGATTAAAAAAGGCCTCAAAAGTTCATTAACTGAGGTGTCAGATACTGAAAGCAAGCTGTGGAAACATCTGGCAGCAAGGCAGAAAGCTAACACAAACTCCGAGCACAGTGGCCCGGTGATGTTCATCAGGTAGGGAAAACCCAGTGCTTTTTACACTTCCTCCCTGCCTCCCAAACAGTCCAGTTACAGGGATGTCTGTTTTTTATTATTTATACAAAGGATAATAACAAGAACTGCAATTAAAACATTAAACTACATGATTTGGTTAGCCACAGAACAGTGAGAGGGCAGAAGGCACAATCTTCTATAAAAGAATTTTTAAAATTCTGGCACTTGCTCCTAGGGCTTCAGTTAAACACAAAAAATATTTTGGGATGCTTGCTTTCCTTTTCTGGAGATAAAATATAAAAGGTATCACAGTGATTAGTATTATGCCCCTATAAAAAATGGTCCAGGCAAAAATGAAGCCAAATAAGTTGGGAAGTTTTTCACTGAAAAGATCCCTTTAGTGCAAGACAGAATATCAACTCAATTAGATACTGAGACCTCTTTTATAAAGTAGCTCAGTTATTAAAAAAAATTGGGGGAACCGTTTAGCTAAGTGTCACAGGTTATTCTGATGTCTAGGCTATAGGCTTTCCCACCTCCAGTTTTTCTTCCTCTTTTGATCACATCAGTTGAAAGAATAGAGGTTGGGGAGGACAGAAAGGTGAGGAAGGAACTATACTGGTGGGCAACTTGGTTATTCCTGCTTGCTCCAGTGTGAATCTCACCCAAATCCGATTTGATTAACAACCTTAAGAACTGCCTTACTGTTTTTCCACCTTGGTGAATCTTTTCTGCTTGCAAAATTCTTCCTGAGAACGACAGTAAGTTGGAGTCAAAGCTCAAGCCCCAGTCTCGAAGTTCTCTCTGAACATTATCATCTCTGTAAATTTAACATATTTGTGTTCCATTCAAGGTAAGTAAGCAACAGAACAGACATGCCAATGGAGATCTACTCCACCCCCAAGACAGCTCCATGTTTCTCTCCCTCTAGGAGACATATAAGTACAATCTATTTTTCTCTTATAACATTTACATTTTCCTTCATGACCTTCTTTAATTTAGAATTCTAAGGCCCAATCTCCCCAAACAAACCCTTGATGCTGTAACAAAGAAAGAACACAGATTTCTCCAAAAACATTTCAGTTTCTACTCTATAGTCTCTTTCCAATGGAAGAACTGAAAAGGCCATGGCACAGAGGACAAACCCGCCCCCAGACTGCAGATACAGAAGCAACAAATTACTTTCCTGCTCCCCTTAAGTCACTCCTCCCAAACCCAGATGAACTAACAAAAAATTGAAGCCACACCCAGCCATGCTGATAACTTACTTATGAATGTAATCAATGAGCCTCCCAACTTCCTGCTGTCTCTGCTCTGGACTTAGTCTTGTATGAACAGCCAAGTCTTTCATGACATTAAAATCATTACGCATTTTATCAGTGAGACCTTTAAATAAAACATGCAGAGGCATATGATTAAAGAAACCAGAATCATGTCTGAAGGTCTGGAGTGCAGGGCAGAAAAGAGTGGCAGACAAGTCCAAGGAGACAAAGTAGCTATGAGGGCCTGGTGTGGGAGGGGTTGTTGTATAGGAGCATGTGGTGACTTCTAGAAAAAAATGGGAAAGCACTAATGGTTTCACTTCAGGAGCAAAATTCACAGTACCTGTAAGATAGCAGAGCTCGGGAATGAGCATTGCAGGGCCTGGTAAAGTGCCCCCAGGGCCTCTCCTTCTCTTAGGTTGACTGACCAAAACAGGTTGTTTCAAGTCGGTGATTTCTTGGTTATATTGCTATTCAAGAGAAGAAAGTTGTCACTGTTCACAGTAAATGCCTTCAATAACAGCCCAACAGACAAAAAAAATTTTTTTTTTAAATTTTGGTATCACTAATCTACAATTACATGAGGAACATTATGTTTACTAGACTTCCCCCTTCACCAAGTCCCCCCCACATACCCCATTAGTCACTGTCCATCAGCGTAGTAAAATCACTACTTGTCTTCTCTGTGTTGCACAGTCCTCCCCATGCCCCCACCCCACATTATACATGCTGATCATAAGGCCCCCTTTCTTCTACCCCCTACTTGTCCCTCCCTACCTACCCATCCTCCCCAGTCCCTTTACTTTTGGTAACTGTTAGTCCTTTCTTAGGTTCTGTGATTCTGCTGCTGTTTTGTTCCTTCAGTTTTTTTTTGTTTTTATATTCCACATTTGAGTGAAATTATTTGGAACTTGTCTTTTTCCGCCTGGCTTATTTCACTGAGCATAATACCCTCTAGCTCCATCCATGTTGTTGCAAATGGTAGGATTTGTTTTCTTCTTATGGCTGAATAA